GCCCCTGTCTTTGTTCAACTCTGGCTAGCTGAAGTGGTGTTTTACACGTGTCTTTCTGCGAATTCTGGAATTGTAAATGTACAACAATCGGAACTCTAAGTGCAGTGCAATTTTAACAGTATTGATGTACAAAACAAAACCCAGTTTTAAGGAGTGTGCACATTTAGAAATCTACTTAAATAACTTGAATGGTGGAGGCAAATATATTAATCAAGCAGTATTTTAAACAATGTCACCTTACTCTTGGATGGTAATTGAATGGCGTAATAAACTCGAATTCATCCAGGCAGAAAGAATTTTGATGCGAATTACGAGCTACAGAGGTCTAGAAGATGAAATTGCTCCATCGTTGTAATGCCCGCATTATAAAGAAATATATAATCGTTTGTTAAATGTAGGGAAACCACACCCAACACCCAATGTACGTAGTAATAAAAATCCATTTATGTGTATTTGATGTTCGCAATAGAAAGCCCAAAGCCATCGATATCGTGTTGGTCACAATTGTTTAAGAAGCCTATCAGAAAAGGCAGTTATCGATTAACTGAATCCATTGACTACATAAGAAAACTTTGTAAATGAGCGACATGTTTTAAGCACCATATTATTAAGATTTTATTGTAGTCTACATTTAGTCCCATCTCATTGTAGTCGAGTGCCATTGTATTAAAGATACATTTTCCTCAGTACATTCTGGTCGTAGATTTAAGAAATGCCATGGTAAGACTTTATTTTGTGACACATTAAAGTTCTAAATCTGATATCAGTTCATGTCAGGTCAAATGTTAGCATGCCTCTCAGTAGCAGATTTAATGTTGTTATTCTGTTATCGAATCATTCATATGTTTAAAATGTTGTTGAAATAAAATTAATTAATCTAAACAACCTGGGGTAATATTTCAGTAGGTTTTCTTCACATTTCATTCTCCAATGGATGTATATATAAAAATTCAAATAAATGATCACAGAAAAAGTTTTATCGGTTTAATTTTTGTTGGACTCGATCTCCTTCTCTTGCACCTTCTTCTCTTGTCCTTTTTCAATTCGGAAGTGTTACCGACTACGCTAATCGGCCAGGGAGAAATCGCACAGTTCAAATGAAACCTTCATAGTAAACTCCGTGGATCGCTTTTCTTTTCTACAAAATGAAAACTGTGGGACTCGATCCTGTCATCTTCTAGTTCCCAGTCTGACACGTTACCGATTCGTCTATTCACCCAACCACCCACCCTAAACTTTCGATCTTCCCTTTATAGTTACTGATGACGTAGGCCAAACCACTGGCATGATTAAATTGAAACTAGGTACTCCACAAAATGAATCGGTATGGTATTTACAGATTCCAAAGTGAAATGTACGCACGGAAAAAGTTTAGCTGTTTTTTAATGATCGCTTTTGTCAGCATTAAAGCAAGTAATTTAGTAAAATAGTAATATCCTAATTTTACAGTGTTCCTAATTTTTTTCCTTCAAACCGAGAAGTTCAGGAATTATCTTTACTGTTACATGATAAGCATCAGCGCCGAAAACGTGGTCCCAGATTTTCTCTGGCGTTTCAGGTGGCATTGGATAACATTTTGATAAAAACTGAGGTCCCAGGGTAAAGTAATGGAGAGACTCTACACTTACATCAGACCCCCGTAACTCGACAGCATCGCTCATTGCGACCGAGCGCAAGCGTCTCGATTCCGTAACTCGCCCATGCTCGCCCCATATAATACACTGTAGACTTATGTGATATCGCTATTTGGAATACGCGATGCTTTCGAGTTACGGAGCCCTGTACTTTTCTCAGTTTTCGGTCTTACATGATAACGGCACCTCCGGTAAAGTATCGTTAACATGTAAGGCTGAAAACTGAGGTAACATCAGTACATGTGCGACAACAGCTAAGGAAAACTAGTAAAGAAAGATGAAATTTACAAGCGTTTATTCACATTACAATAAATAGTACTTGCAACAGTGTACATTTCTCAGCGAATAAGTATTTATTTATTTTATGTTATAAATCTATAGTTACTTTAAGATTTGTGAATAAAAAAACTAAAACAAATTTTGGGAATTCTTTCACGAAAAAATTGCTAATTTGAATGAATTTGTTTATATAATAAAAGCCTACAATAATGTCGATTTCACTTACGTGAACATCAAAATCAGATACTGTTTCTAGTCTTTTAGATGACACATATCGTAAATGTCATGAATATGTCCGCATTCCTTTCACAGCCCTATCTCAATGTCACCCTCCAGTCTAATGCCACGTTTTTAACATTCCACCCGTAATCATTATCCATAATTCCCGTGTCAGCTTCAAGGGTAGAAGATTCGTTCCCATGCACTTGAAATGAGCATTTTTTCCGCAGGGGCCACGTGGTCGTTTGTCCCTTCTTTTTGTCAACAGTTATCATCGCGGTCCTTTACAATATTCCAGGCTAAATGACACAAATAAACAACGAAAGAATGTCCACAACATTCAAATCTTCCACGCTAGTAAAAAATGACATTTATCTTTATCTTCTTCACCGCCTGCACTGGGGTCCCTTAGCCTATACTCTGACGTCACCGGCTGGTCAATTCTCTGGCATCCTTGACAACTTGTCGTCTTTACTTGTCAATATGTAGGTCACTCGACAAAAATGTGAACACAGTTTGCGCAATATATGCATACTTCTAACTCCCCCCTCCTATTTTTTCTGCCTTATGATATAGTACCCTCCAATACTGACTGGAATCAACAATGGTTTTAAAAATGTATTTAATGTATTAAAATGCAACATCAAATATTACTCAAAATGATAATGAAGAGACTCAAATGATTAATTATTTTAAATCGCCCATATGTTAATCTGTATCATTTTTTTTAATCTATTGAAAACTAAAAAGGATTAGTGCCAATAGGGGCCCACTTTCACAATTGTCATCAACCCCATTTACAAACCCAGAGGAAATTAGTGGTATAAACTTGAAAAAAAGAACGTAAACGAAAACAAACATAAGTTAAAACTGTGACAGACTTTATTAACATTTACTCGCCAGAACTTCACATACGTAATATGCAAGTACAGGCCTATAATATCAGTTACGACTAGCTCTTACATCCCAAGTCAGGGGCGGATCCAGGATTATTTGAAGGGGGGGCGTGGATGCGATGCCTCCCCCCCCCCCCCCCCCTCATGTGCCACTGCAAGTTTCATAGTCTGAAACTCAGTTTATCTTATCACTACGGCAACACCCTTCGGGATGTACAGGTAAATGTACTTTGAAATTCTGGGTGTCAAACTGGGCCTTATACACGATTTTTGAGGCAATGAATGTTAAATTCTGTGCTTTTTTCGAATGAATTATGTTTCATTTGGCTATGTACATATTTTTTAGTGAAAAACGACTGGAGGGTTTTCAATGCAAACGAAAAAATTGTGAAAAAGAAATAAAATGCTATCATAAGCTTATCTGAGTCACTGAGTCAATAATATTTCACATCACATTTCTTGAATACGCATGGACAAAGGGGCGAAGGTCACCTGTACAAAGAAATGGGGAACCGCCTACGGTCCCTAGCGGACTACCATTGTCACACCGGTTTGGGCGCGTGCACATTGTCTAAAGCAGAGGCCAATTTCGCACTACTTTCGGCAAAATCGAGTGAAAATGGACGACTTTTTTTTAGCTCTGCTTGTTTTCATGTGTATTTTTGTGAACAGTTAGTATGCTTCAACGTTAGGAATATAAAAAGAAGCGGGTATAGAGATTCGGAAATTCAAGCTTAAAGTTAGTTTTCATTAAAAGTAGATTTAGAACGTTCAAAATGGAATGATTGTAGATCCCATTATTGCTGTTATTATCATTCATATTTCAAAGTTAATCATTATATAAATTTCGCCGTATCGTCTGTGAACAGTTTATTAAGAAATTGTTATCTGACTATCATAATCCAAATTTTCAGCTTAACATTTGATGTAGCTGATAAATATAATGTAATCAAAATTCTAAGATTGGAATAATCTCTAAAGCTATAACTAAAAACTCATTGACCGACATATAACCGACGATTAACGACATGTACCTGTCGCAATTTTCACTATATTTTCATCCTGATTTATAGCTCAGTTATCGCATTACGAAATTGGCTAATATTCGAAAAGTCAGTCGCCCGTTTTGGACTAATTTTTATAATTAAAATATGTTTTCTTAAGTACTAAATGAGCAATTAAAGGAGACAAAGAGACATTATGTCACATGGTATCTATCATTATTATTGTGAACGTCTCTGCTCACTCAATAAAATATAGTGTACCTGAAAGAGTTATGTCACGTTCCTTGGGCTCAGTCTTTACAAATGTGTCAAGGGCTTTTGGTAATGATGCATTGCAACTAATGTCACCATTGAGTAAGTTTGGCACTGTGTCATTTGTGTCCAAATGACTGTCATTACCATTCAAAGCCACATTCAAAATTGTAATCTGAAAACAAGTGCTTGAGGGAGAGATGCCACTGCTGAATTAAGGCGTTCAATACGCGTACAGGTCATTTGTACCGCTAGTAGGTCAATAAAATGGGAGTGTTTTGGAGGACCTGGTGAAAGAAAAAAGTAACAAATTTATATAGATTTCGAAAACTTTTTTTTTCAAAAATCTCTGAGGTACATGTAGGTTGAGTGGGCTATTGCTCTCCTTTCCCCTTAATTAAGATATCTAGCTCAACATGTCGATTTTTAGAAGTCATCTTCACTAATATGCTGGGTCGAACTTGTAATTAACTTGCCATCCTGAAACTGAGGACACAAGCAACGCCTTCGAAATAGGCTACATGGTCCAATTTACATTTTGCATATTTAAGTAGTTTTTAAAAATAATGATTATATATCATATATCAAAATCCAGTGGCAGGCCAAAATGGTCAATTTCACAACGTAAGTGGCTAGTTAAAACGGTGGTTAAAAATCTACCAATCATGGTCATCCTTGACACGGCTAATTTTGAAAACCAGTTAAATACGGTTGCCATGGGAAAGGCACTTCACTGTCGAGAGCAGTTTGGAGACAGGGACACTAGGACCAAGTGCAAGGCATCACAATGCAAATAGCTCTAACCGTACTCGTGTTCCTTCTGGGAGTTGCCTCTCTTGCTAACGGAACCCCCATCGGTCCCTGCGCCAGCATGCAGGCCGTGTGCCGTTACCTGGGTCACGGAACCACGGTGAAGATGACCTACCCCACATGGGTCGCCTCTTGTATCTGTGGCTCTTCTGCTGGACCATCTGCAGATAATCCTGTGGGATGCGACTGGCGCCCAGGCGGCGGGGTTCACGGCGCTCAACTCGACACTAACGGCATGTGTAACAATATACAAGAGGTAGGTTCACCACCTGGTATTGTACATGTAGAGTCCAATTTGACGTGGTTGAATTTACTCTGTGTTCTCAGATCCGAAAGCTCAAACATGCACTTTCTTGTACAAGTGCATGTATATTCCGCCATATTGAATCTAGTATGGGATTGAGAAAAAGCACCCGTATGTGTACCGGTGCAACTAGAAACCAGAGCGAAAGTTGGTCAGTGGATGCTCGTGACCACTTGTTTTAAGTGCGAGGCCATAAGTCGTTGAATCAGTATTGAATCTTTGTTTATCAACTTCTAAACGAAATCTGAATGAAAGGCAGAAATGTTATTCAACATTGTGTGCTGGGAAATTATATGCTTTTTCATGGAAAATTTTTGATCACTGTAAAGTTCGAATATGAGGGGAGGATCAACAAAAATATGACATCGATTATCATATTAATATTCTTTATATTGTTATTATTATTATTATTATTATTATTATTATTATTATTATTATTATTCTTATTCTTACATCGGTTATTACATTTTTAATTTTTTTTAACTGTTGCTTTCCATTTGAACCATTCATTTGCGTACTGCGGACAAGCATTTATCTTAATATCCGCCAATAATAATTTCATAACAAGTTTCATCATATAATCAAATCAATCAAACCATTACGATTTTCGTAAATAAATTTTAAAGTTTTTTTATAATTATTCTTTATAAAAACAAATATCAAGATATTTTAAAGCTGCGGACTTAATTGGTTTATCCATGCATTCCGTCATTACAGGTGTGTTCACACGTGGATAATGGTAACGAGGGTGTGCAGATTAACTGGGATGATGGATCGGCGAGATTCGGCTGTGTGTGCGGGTCCGACCACGCCCCCGGAACTCCAAATTACTCCGTCGTTGGCTGTAACTGGGTGGCCCCTACTGGTCTGCTCCTGCCTCAAACCAAGAAGTAGTAAATTCGTACTACTGTGCAAGTGAATGAAATTCTACAGGACTTTAAAATACGCTAACTTCTATCTTAGCAAAAGCATGAATTAAGAAAAAAGTCTTGAATGAATGTATCCTTCTATTTAGAAAATAAAAGTACCACAAAACATTTGATTTAAAAGTGTTTGTATCAAAGTTTCATTCTCCTGGAACAATGAATAATGAAAGAAAAACGTCGTCTAACCCCCACAAAGAACATACGTTACGGTCACAAACGATCCAGCTGGGTAATTGTTTTACTCACCTTAAAAATTCAATTATCACTGGTTTTGATCTATGATTTATCTCCTTTAAGTATGACGTTGTCAAAAATTACGATAATCTGCTCTATAGAGCAGATTTTTTGAGCGACTTTAGTTTGCTTATCACTGAATATTGTAAAAAGAGAGAAAATACGCCCTGTTGAGAGTAAAATAAACATCAAATGAACTATTTTCCATTCGTGGTCAATTTTTATATCAGAAATGTTAATCTATACATGGAACCAAAATATCATTTTCAGTGAGCAACAGAAAATTCTGTTTCCTATTCAGGCCTTATCAACGGATAAGGCGCTTACTAACAATGACAGTTTTAGCACTAATATAACGCACGTATTAGCCATAAAAACCCACGAATTAACCAACAAACCGTACTATTATTTAGTACCAACAAAGCGATACCTTGTACTTATTCATCAGCTCTGGTGGTGCTGGTTAATTTATATGGCCCGGAACATACGTTACCATTTAGGATTTTTACATAATGTATAGACATGGTAAAAAAAATGAAAATGAAAAATTGAGACACTCGTGAATTGTTCTATATTTAATTCCAAATTTAATAATAATAATTGATTTTATCTGTTTAATAAATGAAGCATTACAGTACTAAGACAAAATCCACGTTACGAATCAACGAGGTGTAAGCCGATGAGTGTTGCAACTGATTATTCAACATCTTATTTCAATTTTATTTCAACTTATGCACTCACTTGAAGTTAAAACAGTCATGCATGCGTGTCGTGTAAGAACGCAAAATATGCAACTCTAAGTTTATCCGTGTCTACGCAGCCACTTGAAATCTTTGGGGCTCATTCCTAATAAAAATGTCATTCTACGTACATCGATCCAACTCCGCGAAGACTCTAAATGAATGCAATAAATTCAACAGATTAACGCGCCTCTTCTTGTTTCCAACCTTTTAGTATAACAACTAGCCTTTCTGTATTCTACCCAACGCCCGGAGGAGACGTCTTAATCTAATTGCATTCAGCGAGAGTCCCCCGATATGTGTATGCGTATTGAACGCCATATTCCTTGCGCATTTATGAGTAAAACAAAGACGGTGTCGGGTTCAAAGCAAATGACAACTTGTTCCATCACCCCTGCGTACAAACCACTACTCATTGGCTATTCGGTGATTGAACGAATATTCAGTAAAAAACGTAGCAATAATTGTATATGATATGAATAGGTATATGGGGACTCATTATCAGGGTTTTTTTTTTATTTTTATTTATTTATTTTTTTTAATAATTAATTAACGCAAGGTCAAAGTCCGGGCGTGGTGAAGTTATGACCAGACGTTAATAACTTCAGCACCCTCCACTGCAGTCTTTACCGGTTTGGTTTGCTCGTGCACGCTGACTGGAGGGTACAACGTATTGCCACTACTCTGAGCAAAATCGAATGAAAATGAAGAACTTTTAACTCTTCTTAATTTCATGTCCTTTTTTTTTTTTTTTTTTTTTTGGCAAAAGTTGGTTTGTTTAAGCGTTAGGAAACGTCATTATATCTTCAGCGGATATATCTAGGTATTCGGAATTTCAAGCTTTAAGTTAGCTGTTATTAGAAATAGATTTAAATGATCAAATTTGACTGTAGATTCCATTATTGCCGTTTTTATCATTCATATTTCAAAGTTAGTCATCAAATGAATTTCGCCGTATCGTCTGTGAATAGTTTATTAAGAAATTGCTAACTATAAATTGACTATCATAATCCAAAATTTCAGCTTAACATTTGATGTATCAGATAAATATAATGTAATCAAAATTTTAAGATTGGAATAATCTATAAAGCTATAACGAAAAACTCATTGACCGACAATTCACCGACGGTTAACGACATGAACCTGTCGCAATTTTAACTATATTTTCATTCTGATTTATAGCTCAGTTATCGTATTATGAAACTGGTTAATATTCGAAAAGTCAGTCGCCCGTTTTGAACTAACTTTAATAAATGAAATATGTTTTCTGAAGTATTCAATAGGTAATTAAAGGAGACAATGAGACACTATGTCACATATGTCACAATTGCCTAATATTCGAAAAGTCAGGCGCCCGTTTTGGACTAATATTTACAACTGAAATTCTAAAGAATCCAATGAGCAATTAAAGGAGACAAAGAGATATTATGCCACAGGGAATCTATCATTTTTATCGTGAACGCAAAGTCAACAAAATATACTGTACCTGAAAACAGTTATGTCACGTGTCCTGGGCTCAGTCTTTGCAAATGTTTCAAGGGCTTTTGGTAATGATACATTGGAGGTAATGTCGTCATTGAGTACGTTGGGCACTGTGTCATTTGTGTCCAAATGACTGTCATTACCATTCAAAGCCACATTCAAAATCGTAATTTGAAAACAAGTGCTCGAGGCAGAGATGTCACTGCTAAATTAAGGTGTCCAATACGCAAACAAGGTCATTTGTACCGCTAATGTGGTAGATCACTTAAATGAGTGTTTTGAAGGACCTGGTGAAATAAAAAATGTTACCAATTTATATAGATTTCGAAAACTTTATTTTTCAAAAATCTCTGGGGTAGGTGGGGTGGGTTATTGCTCTACTTTCCCCTAAATTAAAATATCTAGATCAACATATCGATTTTTTAGAAGTCATCTTATTTCACATACCTGCTATAATAAACTTGCCATCCGGAAACCGAGGCCACAGGCAACGCCTTCGAAAAAGGCTACATGGTCCAATTGACATTTTGCTTATTTGAGTAGTTTTCAAAAATAAGGATTACATATCATAAATCAAAATCCAGTGGCAGGCCAAAATGGTCAATTTCACAACGTAAGTGGTTAGTTAAAACGGTGGTTAAAAATCTACCAATCATGGTCATCCTTGACACGGCTAATTTTGCCAACCAGATAAATACGGCCGCCGTGGGAAGGCACTTCACTGTCGAGGGAGGTTTCGACAGAGAGATAGGACCAAGGACCAAGTGACCGTCATCACCATGCAAACCGCTCTAGCCGTGCTGGTGCTCCTTCTGGGAGTTGCCTCTCTCGCGAGCGGACAAGGCCTTGTATTCCCATGCGCCAGCATGCAGGCCGTGTGCCGCTATCTGGGCCGTGGAACCACGGTGAAGATGACCTATCCAACATCGGTCAGATCCTGCATCTGTGGATCCGCAGCCGGACCCTCTCCGGGCAATCCGGTAGGATGCAACTGGAACCCCATGGGCGGTGAACTCGACGCTCTTGGAAAGTGTCACAATATGCAAGAGGTAGGTTGACTGTTGTAGAGTCCACAGCCCGATATGACGCTATAAGGCCCTTTGCAGCTAGATAACATTATTTTGTTTTCTGGAGACGAAACCAGTCAAAATGTAGTAATCTAGCTCCGCAAAGGCCTATTGCATTTACATGCTGTTGTGATTATTTGTTACATTTTTATCTGTGCCTTTAGATCCTAAAAACTAGCAATAAATAAAATGTAGACAGATAGATAGATAGATATAAGAAATATAATAGATTAGAAATAAATAAGATACGTTTCAATAATTAAAGAGGTTTATAAAATGACAAATAAAGAAGCCATAGAGTCTTTCCGTGTTAATCTTTTGGACTCATGGATTTCACCTTCCACATAAAGGCAGTCAATTTGAAAATATCTATAACATGTTAAAAAGTAGCGGACTAAGACCATTACATAGAGAATATTCCTACCTATCGCTCAGTAAATGTCGATTTGTCAACCTAATTAGTGATAAGTCAACATTGAATTCACAATAGATTTTGAATGCTGACTTTTAAATGTTGATTCAGGATTATATCTTCGTTAATCAACGTTTAAACTTAATTTGAATATCAGGCGCAGCGTTTATTCAACATGTTGTACTGATTTACTTTTCATAGTTATCAATATGCTCTTCCTTGGACAATATTTGACAACGGTCCAGTTCTAATATGAGAGCTGGATCAACAAAAATGGCATCGATAATCATAAATTGCCATATCATTATACTGATTATTATTTTTTAATTTTATTTTTGAACTGTTCTTTTCCATTTTCAAACATACATTGGTGCAGTGCGGGCGAGCAATGTTTCTTTAATTAAATATTCCGCAATTAAGTATTCCATGACAAGTTTCATCAAACGATCAAATTAATCAGAAACGTTCTGAAACATTATCATATTCGTATATATAGCGCAGATTTTCACCTATGATTTTCCTCCATCAAACACATAAGGTATTTGAAAGCTACGGACATAATTGGCATATCCATGCATTCCATCGTTACAGGTGTGTTCACACGTGGATAAAGATCACGAACGTGTGCAAATTAACTGGGATGATGGATCGGCGAGATTCGGCTGTGTGTGCGGGTCCGACCACCCCCCCGGCACTCCAAATTTCGCAGTTGTTGGCTGTAACTGGAAGCCTCCAACAGGCCTGCGCCTGCCTCCAATTGAGAAGTAGGAATTAAAGGTGGGTAATTGATCTAATGCATTATCACTCGATAGAGCTTATCAGTGGCCATCTAAAATAAATGAGTCCATTCTCCTTCCTCTGATCTGTAACCCTCGTCCCTTTCTTTTGAAAGACACAAAAAGAACAAGCCCGTAGTCAGGTGGGGGAGGTCCATTCTGGTAAAAATTTGATAAGATGCACGACGATTTCATGATAAAGGTCCGCTTTTCAGAAAAAAAACCCTCTTTTTAAACTGTTGGCGGGCCTGAAGAAGATGAATGATTCAGGAAATTTTCAGCAATTTTTTCTCAACTAGATAACTACCTTACGGGTCGTAATTCTATTAACGGTTTTGGTTTGCCTTGGTTTAAAGGGAGAGCTGAAATTTCTTAAACTAAAGTCTGATACATAAAGGTCAAACGCCCTTGTTTGTCCTGAATCCTGTTCCTTTGAATCCATCAACGAGTTACACATGCTTTCCAACTCAAATGACTTCTAAAGTACTTAAACGCCGCGGCAAAACTGTCAAAAAATACCAAATTTCCCCCAGTTGTTTATCCATCAGACTCGAACAGTTATCGGATTTTAATAATTTTTTCATTCTGTTTTCAGCAGCCCACCCCTATCCAGCACGAACAGACGACAAGAGGCCGCCTACATCATCTGAAACTGAAGAATAAGAAAATTCTAATTTTTGGATTTCGGCTCATGTCTGTAATAAATCGCTGCATGAATCAATATAATTCTTTATTTCTGATTTCCTTCCTACACAGTGAGTTTAGAAAGGTATGAAAAAATAAATGAATAAATGATTCAAGTTACTATTGTTGTTTTGACTTAAGCTTTTGATCACTCACTAATTCTCATTCTGTGTTAAGCCTATCTAACACAGAAGTTGATTCAAATATATGAAATTATTTGAACAAGTCTCAACCTCCTGATAATAAGGACTGAGTTTAACTGCCGATATAAGGCCAATACGCTAATACATAAAGATGACAAGGTATTTGCAGCTATATTCAGTACAGGGTGCTTACTCAAGAAAAAAAAATTTCAAATTATATTTACTGGGTCATTATTGTGATATCTACTCCAGTAGTGAAAAAAATTCGTGGGCTTTACTCTCAAATCTAGACGGAAGCATTCAGGTACGGAGATTATCCGAGCTCCCGGTCGGCTTCCTTCCGTTTCTCCCCTGTGAAGATCTGAGGCGGTGCCTAATTGGCACAGGAACAATACGTAGTGCCTCGATACGAAACCAGACAACTTTGGTGTTTTTAGTCTCCAAATTCTATAAAATATCAATTTGTCTTATAAATAGGCCGACCTAGGATTTTTTTAGATGGTGTGTGATAATATTTATTATTATTGAAGATCCCAATTACAACCAAAACGTATTTTGGTTTAGCGCTTTTTAGATTTTTATTAAAACATTCAATTTTTACGAGGTTATGAATCGTCTCCTGTAGATTAGTGCCATTGCCTCGCTTTCATAAAAATTAAATTTGTTGATCATTTCGCGGCAGTGAAAGTTTAATGCGTTACGTCGGTTAATTTCGCCGACCTGGTGGGTTTCTGATATGAAGTGCCTAAACTTAACCTTCCTACATTTTCGAATGCAATCAGTAATAACATTCACATTAGCGATCAAGCACGTATGTTCTTATGAAGAGTGGGGGAGGGGTGAAAAATTCCCTTGGGGCCACATACACTGTATAACACTATAAATACAAAAGGAATCCCCTTACAATAAAGGCAAAATAAATGTTATTTTAATGAAAGTCCAATGAATTTACTTTTTAATACATACAACCAACAGAAAATTTCCAATATAATTTCTAAAAACGACACCAGAAAGCAAATTAAAATAAATCAACCAGACGGTAAACAGTGGCAGACTCTGTCAATTTCACCAACTTATTTCAAACAACTCACTTTCGCACATGCGCAGTCATTTGAATCCTGTGCTTGTTAATCAATTTTAGTGTTGGATGGGCTTACCATTCAGAAAATAGCTACGTGGAGCGTCCCTTCCTTTAGGGAAAAGTGTGGATTTTAATCATCTTTGGATTTTCGGTACCTACCTGAAAAAAAAGGAATTGTGATAAAAATCTTAAATAAACCATTGTACCGAATAAACCACTATGTTCTAGAGTTCTTTAATTCCAGGAAGGATAAAAAGGACGTCAATACAAATTTGACTTTCATCAAAATGATAACAAAGGTGTTTTAAAGTTTCCTTGATAGTGGTTCAGGGTCTATGGTGAACAAGTGAATTGTTTTAGCTACATATTAAGAAATATATTCTTTAAAACATGCTCACTTAGTCAGCTGACAAGGGAGTGAATAAGAGTAGCAGTGGATTGAGGAGGGAGAGTAGAGTTACGTTGAATCATAAGGGTTGAGTCCATCCCATTGAAAAGGGGTGTCAGATGGGGCGAGCCATTGAAAAGGGGTGTCAGGTGGGACGAGTCCATTCCACCAAAAAGGGGTGTCAGGTGGGGCGAGTCCATTCCATTGAAAAGGGTTGTCAGGTGGGGCGAGTCCATTTCATTGAAAAGGGGTGTCAGGTGGGACGAGTCCATTCCACCGAATTAGGGGTGTAAGGTGGGACGAGTCCATTCCACCATAAAAGGGGTGTCAGGTGGGGCGAGTCCATTCCACCGTAAAAGGGGTGTCAGGTGGGGCGAGTCCATTCCACCGTAAAAGGGGTGTCAGGTGGGGCGAGTCCATTCCACCGTAAAAGGGGTGTCAGGTGGGGCGAGTCCATTCAACATGCTGAGGGGTGGCAGGTGGGGCGAGTACATTTACTTGGACAAGCGACAGGTGTATTGACCCCATTTTACCAAAGGTGCCTTATGGGGCGATTCAATTCTATTTGAAGGTTCTCAAATTTAGCTTTTCCACAATTTAATAAAACTTTGCATTATTTACTGGGCATTATTGAATTTGTTAGATTCGAAATAGGTCACAAAACACGAAGTAATCATAAAATATATCTCTTTTTTTTCTCACTTTGGTTCAGTGAATAGCGAAAAGGTGTGTTCTTATATTCCTTTAAAATATACATGTTGGGAAAATTTAGACTTTACCATAATTAGGTTACGTCAGAATATTTTTACTTTTTTCCTCTTTCTTTTTAAATTTGAAATATTCATGTGAATAATAAGTCACCAAATTATGGAAGCATAAACCAGAAACTGTCGAAAATGGGTCCGTCCTATAGAAATATAGGCAAACTATTTCTAAGAGGGACGACAAACTAATAAGTTCCATTTTGCTATTAAACAGAAATTGAATGTGAATAATATTACTCATTTCTTCTTATCATATAACTTTATCGTTATTATCATAACATCATAACAAAATAAAAAACAGAATTACATAAGTATTTATTCAATTTTCACATAATATATGCACGGTTCCTGGATGTGAAACGAAGGCTTAAGTTGGTACGGAAGGTTGCTTGCAGGGGCACGTTTTGCAGAATCTCGTTGAGCTTCTGAAAAGAGAAAATAATGTTTACAACTACGGACTAAACGGAGAGGCTATTAGCATACGCAGAATACACGTAATATCACAACGGTAGAGAGTACTTATAATTGAAACGGCGTGCTTGTTTACTGGCTTGACTGATGTTCATGCTCAGCTAGCCAGGAAAATCAGAGAGCGTCCTGCATCCCGTACTTTTGGAGTCCCAGTGCATTGTAACCAATAAATTCTACCATTCAGAGTGACACGCATGTGGTTGTGCAATGGAAATAGGCTACTATTAGTAGTACATATACAAGGACTCATGTTATAAAAACATGTATTTGTCGTAAATATAATTTAATTCGTCTGCTGCTTAAGCATTTAATGGAAGAAATAGTGATACTTACAAATATGTATTTGCTTCTACACCTAGTAAAAAGTCGACCTTCCAACTGTTCCACTTGCCCATACAGTTAACAATTGCGGCTACACCCGACTCTGTCCAACTTCCAAGTGACCGTTCGGGACGACAACTCTCACTTTGACGAGCAACGTACTTATTGTTATGCAAATTACAGCAGATATGGTTCATTTTAGGTGAGAGACTGTCACTGAAACTGGTCACGAATGGTCAATAATAATCCGGCGGTGATGCCTTTCCTTACGCTCAGTGCTCTGCATAAAATCGATGCCTCATACGTTCGCTTACATGTACCCTTTGCCCAAGTATGGACGGATATATATTGCACCAAGGACCCCCTGACCCCCCCCCCCCCCCCCATGAATCCGCCACTGTATAGGCCCTATATTGAGAGAGTGGGAGAGAGAGAGGCGCGAAAAGTAGACACCCCTGTCCGATATTAAACTAGAAAAGCACTCCAAGAGCGCAGACCTCCGCCAAGGCAGCATTTTTTTATTATTATTGATTATTGATTGATTATTGATCCGGACAACCACTAAAAACTAATAACTTCTAAGTTAACCCATTTCTGCTAAGTTATCCCATTTCTGAACTACCCTGAATATTTCATCAGAATCGGTCCATAACTTTTTACTTATGTTGATGATTGATTTTTGATTATTGATTATTGATTGATTATTGATCCTTATCACCACCAAAAACTAATCACTTCTTAGTGAACCCATTTCTCACCTACCCTGAACTTTTCATCAAAATCGGTCCAAAACTTTGTGAGTTATGTTGATGATTGATTTTTTATTATTGATAATTGATTGGTTAGTGATCCGGATCACCAACAAAAACTAATCACTTCTAAGTTAACCCATTTCCCACCTACCCTGAAAATTTCATCAAAATCGGTCCATGAATTTTTTAGTTATGTTGATGACAAACAAACAAACAGACAGACGGGTGAAAACATAACCTCCTTGGCGGAGGTAATAAGAAAATACCAATATCATTAAAGACACATTAGGTTTTTTTTTTTTTTTTCGAATCCTTGCCAATAAAGCGAGGCAACTGTTTTGTATTTGTATATCTCTCGTCTCCCCCGACCACCACCACCCCCCCCCCCCCCCCCCCCCAATCCCCTCGCTCCTTGAGAAAAAACTCCAATGACCAGCAACGAGTCAAGCGGGTCAAGGTCTAAAATTGAAGTTTATCTTGGATGAATGCAATCGGTGAACAGTTATTTTACATTTCATCAACTGGACACAATCATAATGAACAAGAGTTAGTGGGTCTGTAAAACTGACTTAGACCTCTCTCGACCTACTTGGGGGGCCTGTAAACATTCTGCGACATGTAAATGTAGTAGCTGACTACTCATGTTAAAAAGCTAGAAGTGACAGAATCAACCGTATAGACTACAACGTTGACAATAAGGTAGGCCTACATGTAATTGGTGATTTATACTATAGGCTATAGGCCTATATGGCAGGGTATGTTTTACGTCTTTAAATAGAAAATGTAACTCTCAAGCCTACTTCAAATGAATAATACCAGAATGCACATTTGTCAGTTTTGCTTTTAAGTTTTGTCATTTGTAATATGCTAAAGTGTCTTTGAACTCCTGTTGAATTCTACTATAATCTTATTATACTGGTACGTGTTTATATAGGCCTACTAGTACTATCAGCCGTACTACAAGTATGCAGGCAGAGCATACAGTAGCATCCTACATATAGGCCGCTGCTTAGGCCCTATTGAATTCTATTTTCACTTATGTGAGGTCACCCTCCTTCGGGTCGCGTCAGAAAATTGCTACAGTGTGGACTGTGGTCTGCATGGTCAGAGCTATGTGTTCCCTTTGTGTTTATATGGACATTAAAGGGATAATAACTCTTCGTATGAAATCTGTATTTCACAATAAAAACATTGTAAATGACTCATAGAAATATAAAATATTCTGTTTTCCCACAAAAATGGCTGTTATAGCTATTATTCTGATATCTGAGCTTGTCTTTAGACCACGTGACCTCCATTGATGGCTATACTCTGTTAAAATCTCTTAAGAGATTTTAACAAAAAACCAAACTTTTTAGAAAAAAACCAGGGACTAACTTTGAATGTAAAAATGGATTCATTAACCATTGGTAAGTATGGGAAAATTGTTGTTTACTCCAGGAAAATTCATTTTTTGGCCGTAACGAAGAGTTATTATCACTTTAAGCAGCCACGCATTATATTGGTAACGGTAGGCCTACTGATTGGTGTACATGTATGGGGCAACCTTATTAATGGTTATTTTCTTTTCTCTTCTCTTAGAAATGTCGTCCTCCTCCACAGAAGCAAGTGACGTTATCATTCGCCCGGCTACAGGAGCAGACCTGGAAGAGCTGTTTGCTTTGACCATTGAAATTGGTTGGATTGTTTCCAAAGAGCTGTTTACCGCCCTGTTTAACATTGTGGAAGACGGCCACTATGTTGTCGCTGATCTACATGGGAAAATAATCGGTAAGATAAAATCCTGCATGGATTGAATTGCATTCGTCGTTGATCGATATTTGCCACGTTCTAAATAGCTGTATATAAACTGGTGACTGCTTAGCTGCAGCTCCAGTACGGCCATATTGCTGTAAGTTGTACGCAAAGTATATGGCGGGATGTGGGCTAGAATATGGCTTTCTGTGATAAAGATTTTAGTTAGATTGGTTGTTGATACGCCTACGACTTTGAACGTTGTAAATTCTTATGAATTTGAGGGTTCTTCAAAAAAAATTATCTTATGTTTCCTAACTAAATTTAAAGAATAAATGATGAGAAAAACAGTGTGCTTGAAACCCATACATTGATTTAAATAAGTAAGTATTTAATTATGGCCTATAGTAATATCTCTTTGTAATCATCATTTATCAAATTGTGCATAACTATAATCGATGGATTTTCATATCTTCGGTAAATCTGGTACAGTTTAAAACTTGTAGTATTAATCACGTCTTTTTTTTTGGGAGGGGGGGGCGACTGAACGTTTTGACCATTTTTTAAACGACAAACATCCGTTTAAGCAGCTCCTTTCCTGAAATCGTCGAGAAAATACTTTGTCTATGTTTCAGTATGTATTTACTTCTAACCAGTAGATTATATAACATATTGATGCTTTACTTTTACCTTTTGTTCCCATTAGGTTCACGATTCGTCATCATTTTGGACGAGAGGACGGCCATGTTTGACTTCCTGATTGTGGCCAAAGAACACAGAGGAAAAGGAATAGGTGAGTAAATAACTGTACTATATGTCACACAGGCCTACCCAACTACCAGACTCGGCACCGAATGATCCAGAATTCACCGGTAGATCAGACCACACTACCCGTTTTCTAGGTGTGAGTCAGTACGCATTACACAGTATCATACCCTGAACAAATTTTGAGTGGTGATGCAATGCTTTTCAACCCCGCTGAGAATCGTCACTATCACATCGCGTACTAGGCAAGAGCGGTGTCGCGTCTGATACTGTGAAATGCGTACTGATACACACCTTGAAAACGGGTAGTGTGGTCCGATTTACCGGTGAATTCGGGATCATTCGGTGCCGAGTCTGGTAGTTGGGTAGGCCTGTCACTGTCCGTGAAAGGTCTCGTGGAACAAGTCTATATAATTGCTTTTCCATATTATCTTTCCACTTATGACTTAATTGCGCTCAATCATTCACACTATCGAGTTTTGGTTTTAGATAAATCTCAAGTGCAAGAAAAAAGTAAAAAGGAGACATGGTTAAATTAAAACGTGTTGTTTAGTTTCAAAGTGAATTCAAAGTGAATTCATAAATCGGCGTATCTGTCGATGTTAATTAATTAATTTATTATTTATTTTAGCGAAGAAAATAGCAGAGGCCACCCTGAAGATTGCTGGGGACAGAAATATAGTAGTTTGGGCACTTCCTGAACGAGTTGAGCCGAACTTGAAGGTCGGCATGAAGAACGGGGGCGGGAACTTGTACCGCTGTGACTGCCGCCTGGATGTGGGGACCTTGTACGTTGACAAGCAACAAGAGACGGCTTCAGTGAAGGTTGTTCCCACGAGTGAAGTCGACTTCGAGGCCTTACTCGCCTATGATACTTCTGTCAACGTGTTTCAGCGGAGAAAATTTTTAAAAGTTTGGCTGGCGAAGCCATCAGCCGTTTCTTTCGCTGCTCTCACAGATGGCGGTGAGGTCGTGGGATACGGTCAGGTGCAAGACGCGCCAGAAGCTTATTCCATATCACCGCTTTATGCTGATAACCCGACTGCGTTTGTGCTGCTACTGAAAGCACTCATAGAATCGATTCCAAAAGATTCTAAGGTTTCTATGATCATAAACGTCGACTATACTCCTTGGAATGAGATTAAGGAAAGGAACAAAGACGTAGTTAATTTTATAAAGGATAAACCAATCCAAATGATGTACACTAAAGAAAATTTGATATTACCCAAATTTGGGAGCGTTTTTGCATTAGCTTGTACTGGAGCCTTTCCAGTATGATAGACTTTACATGTACAAGGACCTACTTAGGCTGTTCTTTGCGTATTTAGGTATACTGAATGCGTCCTGTGTAATTATGGACCAGGAATGCTGATATAATACTCAAAGATGAGCGAGATTAACAGAATCTCTTTATACATGTTAGTAGTTGCGTTTCAGAATTATGTACAAAATTGTTCTGTTAAGGGTATTTTATCAGCAGTGTATCTGTGGTGCGACAGAGAGGCCACGTGATCATTGCGTTACTTAAATTCGTCTCCGCCCCTGCGAAAATTTGCCTCATTGAATGTTCACTTACCGTTCTTAATCTATTCTAGAACATTAGGTGTATTTTTTTATAGTTCTAATGTTGTTCTGCAATGAATGTAAGAGTTCGAGAAGTGTTTTAGGAAGTCCTTCAGAATGTCCTAGAACAGATTAATAATATTTTTTCAATAAAAGAGAAAAACATTATGTTCTATGACAAATCGAAAACCGTAAGTGAGAGTTTAATGGAACAAAATTTGCAGGGGCACTGAGGTTTTTAATCATTGTTATAATGATAAGATTTAAGGTACATTTGTCATTATTCGTGTTGTGCAATATGTGGATTAATAGATGTCGACTGGTATGTACTGGTGTATGTGCGCTTTTGTATTGATAAATAAAATGTCTGGTAAAATCGTGATTAAAGGAATAATAACTCTTCGTATGATATCTACATTTCACAATAAAAACATTGTGAATAACTCATAGAAATATAATATATTTTGTTTTACCACAAAAACGGCAGTTATAGCTATTTTTTCTGATATCTGAGCTTGTCTTTAGACCACGTGACCTCCATTGATGGCTATACTCTGTTAAAATCTCTTAAGAGATTTTAACAAAAAACCAAACTTTTTAGAAAAAAACCAGGGACTAACTTTGAATGTAAAAATGGATTCATTAACCATTGGTAAGTATGGGAAAATTGTTGTTTACTCCAGGAAAATTCATTTTTTGGCCGAAACGAAGTATGTGGACTATGATGGATGAGAGTCCAATAAGTTTCGAGTTCTGACGGTAGAGGGAGCCTGTGCATGAGGGTCCGTTTTGATTGGTATAAAAAAGCATTTCCAAAGTGAAGAAAAACTTAAACAATGCAGTCTCATATATCGATATTGATCTCATTAAAAGCGTGTTCACGTGTGCTTGAGTGTGCATGAAGATGCATACGTTTTTCATGTATCACTCGCTTTTGCGACCGTGATCACAAGACGGCACATGTACTAGTAGATATAATACATGTACCACTAATACACGTCGCTGCTTATTGTTCCAAACACTCGCAAACGCATGGACAAAATGTATGGTTACAAGAAAGAGAGACCAGAGGCAAATAAATAATCACAACTATATATACTCGTTCGTTTTTTTAATAAACTGCAGTGGAAGAACACTCAAGTACGTTTACTTGCATAAAAATAACCTAAATCGGAGTGCTAAAACGCGGTCACGAGGAACATGGCTGATAACCTACATGCATACAGACCACAGACGGGGGCAAGTTTTCCTTATCCGAGGCGGTTCAGACTTTATCTGGCAGGGTGAAATACTCCATAACCTGGCCTGGACTGCTGAACCAGTCTATTCGTATACCCTGGTATTTGAAGGTGACCATGGCCGATAGACGAGCAAAGCAAGGTATCAGTATGCCTATTATCCTCACTGTTTTAATGGTTTCATAATAGTGTTCAATGTTTCCTTCAGCAAGGAGTTTCAACAGAAACTCCTTGCCGCCAGCTACATGTACATAGACTACAAACATGTTGTTGGCAATGTGTTCCATACAGTACGGGGTAAATATCAGTTAGTTCGTGTACAAGCTAAGCGGATGTTTTTTCTTTTTTTTCTTGACTGTTATGGTTGTGGTTGACGGTCATAATATACAACTTAGCTTTGCCACGTATGAAACTTATTACCTCCGCCAAGGAGATTATCTTTTCACCCCTGTTTGTCTGTATGTTTGTTTGTCTGTCTGTCATCAACATAAATCAAAAAGTTATGGACCGATTTTGATGAAATTTTCAGGAACTGTCAGAAGTGGGCCAAAGAAGAGATGATAAATTTTTGATGGTGATCCGGATCAGTAATCAATCAATAATCAATAATAATCAAAAATCGCTGCCTTGGCGGAGGTCTGAGCTCTTGGAGTGCTTTTCTAGTTAACTTATATAACTTTATAATTGTAATTAAGTGTGTGGAAAAAACTGGAAAGTTGAAATGGACTTTAACTTATGGTGGATGGCAATGAACAATTGACACCCGAAACTTTATGTGAACATTTCAAAGGGTTTAAGAGTTTTAATTTCATGCACGAGCAGTAACGGCGATCGGAATGCACCACACAAGGTTTGGGATATTCATGTTTCGCCCCTTTCTCAGTCAATTTAGAAATAACGTGTTTTCTGTATATGTTTCTGAAAATAAATCTGCTGATGTAGGCCTAATAATGGTGTGGTATAACTCAATAATTGTTTTATTTTAGAGAACAGAAGTTCTATTTTCTATTTATAATACGCGTATTAAACCAAGCTGACCCTTCGGTTGATTTGTTGTAATTTTAAATTGGTTATTACATATGCACACATTCCTTATATGCTTCTTGCGAAATCACGTGCAAATTTGCAAAAAGGACTTTAACCACGCAAATGAAATCTATGTGAATTTGCAAGAACCTGATACATATATCTTTTCGGAATCCCGCAACAAATCTAAGTTGTTCTTACAGTTTGCAGCAAATTTTCTGCAAAGTTTTCAATTTGCTAAGGTATATAATTTGAATTTACTAAGAAAAATGCTTCAGTTTTTCCCATTCTATGCTTTGATCACCATATGCACGTCATAAGTCATCTTAATCACCGATTAAAATCATAATTCGATTTTTTTTCTGTTACAAGGGCTTGTGGAGCGACTTCAGGCAGGAGAAAGTGTTATCGTGGCGGAGGGATACGTACTTGAATTAGAGCGACGAGGTTACTTGAAATATGGAGAAACTGTTCCAGAAGTGGTATTAGAAAACCCGGACGTGGTTCGTCAACTCCATAAAGAGCTTGTTCACGCCGGAAGTGACGTAGTCATGGCAGTTACGGTAACATGAAACAGAGATTTTGTCACCTCTTTGTAAACATTAGTGACACTTTTCTATACATTTTCTTTTAAGATATTTTTAAAAATCCGAGAGAAAACCTACATAAAATGTGTCAGTGACAAATTCAGGGACCGGAAAATGGTGAGGCCACCCATCTTTACCAATAACAGAATGGTGGATGTAGTAGGCCGCAAACCTACCACTTCCCCCATTTTGGCGTCAAGGGAACATGTCATTTATGCTAAAAATGCATCGAATCATTTGCTTTAACACTAATTTCTCTTAAACTTGAAGTAGGTTGCCGGGTGGGTGGGGGGGGGGGTGCCCACTTAAGGGGCAAATATGCATAAACCACGTACATGTACGTGTAGCGCTGCAGGTTTTTACTTGATGCAGCCTGGAAAAATTCACACCACCTGGAGAAAATCAACCTAGACATACATGTCCGTCGGTGCCAAATGTAACTGTTTTAAATGCCCCAATGTTTAATGTTTTCATCCTTCCAGTACTTTGGTCATCGAGACAAACTGAAAAGAATCGACAGAGAAGATGAAGTGGAGAAGCTTCACCGTACAGCCCTTCGAATGGCGAGGGAAGTAGCAGACGAGACGGGAACCTTAATGGCGGGAGACATTTCCAATTCCACCATCTATGATCCAGATAACCCAACAATTAATGCATACGTGAAGGAAATATTCAAGGTACACGTTGGAAGGCAGGGATGTTGTAACGGAAAATGTTCAATATCGTCACGACAGGCAATGGGCTAAGATTGGCTTGACGTAAAAAATGTTTTCACGTGTCATTCTATTATTACTCACTATATACCAGTAAAACGTCAAAAGCTGAACTTTAAGTATGATGAAATTACAACCCATTCCCAATGACACTATCGTTTTTACATAGATCGATTCAACTTCGGGGGGAATTTCGCTGAAAGCAATCATATTATCGATGCCAGTAGGACAATAGATTCATTGGAAATGAATTAATATGGGAAACCTATAACTGATACCATCTGTGCATCTGTTTAGGAACAAGTGGTGTGGGCCGTGGAAGAGGGCGCCGACTACATCGTGGGGGAAACCTTCCGCCATTTTGGAGAGGCCATGATGGCGTTGGAAACAATTCAAGAGTTTGGCCAAGGTACAGTGTATGTCCTGAAGTTAATACACATAATTATTTTAGATTCAGGGGCGGATCCAGGATTATTTAAAGGGGGATCCAGTTTTTTAAGTGGAAATTTTTTGGTGTTTTGGGGGTCGAACGGTGCCATTTGGCACGGTTTAGAACTATGATTCAGCTATTCAAAATTCTAAATCAAGAGGGATTATTGGTGTAATTTTTTTTCAGAAACTGAAGGGAGGTCAGGACCCCCCCCCCCCCACATCCCCTTAAATCCGCCACTTCAGATTGGTAGGCCTAATTGACTTGAACGGATCATTTGACGTCATGATGTCCCATTAACTTATCCCCTATCTGCTATCCTACCTACCTTGCTATAATATGATTGATTATCCATGGAAGCTGTTTATTCTTTGCGATTGTGATCCAAATGATCCTTATTTATAGGCCAGCATAGTGCCTACAAGTAAAACAGAAAAAACACTTGCTCGTATTTTATAGTGATTGTATAATTTTTGTTCATAGATAGTTCCCCCCTTTCTCTATTTCCATTCAAATTTACTGGACTCGGTAGGTGATGCATATATGCACATTTCACAGCAGGGTTCACTGTCATTACTTTCATTATTTTCGTAGCTTTGATTTCACCCTATAAATTCCATCCATAATTGTCACCCATAGATAATTATGGATGTTTTCTATGGCCGTTTACGTTTTCTTTTTTGCCACACCATGAAATTCAAATACTAGTATGGGCAAAATTTTATCTCACCATTCCCTGCGAGATTATATTACATGTTCTTCAATTTCTCGCCACTGAACTGGAAGTTTTCAGCTAGCCAGTCGGGTCATGTGGCTGGGCATGACGTCATGCCATCGGTATGACGTCAAGGATAAGCTCCTTATGCACACTTTTCTCATCCCAAGGTGTCCCAGCAGTCATTACCATAGTTCCATACAAGGACGTAACTGTAGATGGCGTCCCAATACCGGAAGCCGTGAGGAGGTTGGAGGCCGCTGGTGCTGCTGCGGTGGGTTTAAATTGCGGTAGAGGACCGGAGACGATGCTACCGTTAATAAAGGAGGTCAAGAAGGTCTGCCAGGTAGGGTTTAGTACATGTATATTGTGTTATATTGTATATGTAGTCCCATTTCAAAAATTGTATATTGTGTTATATTGTAGGGGGCCTACATGTAAGACCCATTTTGAAATAGTATATGATATATTTTGTTATATTGTGCATGAACTACCATTTCGAAATAGTATAGGCCTATTGCGTTATATTGTACATATAGTCGCATTTCGAAATAGTATATTGTGTTATATTGTACATGTAGTCCCATTTCGAAATTGATTGTACAGTTACCATGTAGATATCACAATATCGTTTGCATTGGATCACAGGCAGGTGACGGCCAATAAGAAATGATACATTCATTGTGAAAGGGCCCTATAGTATACCAGTAAGTGACCATTTATAATGTACAAGTATTTTCTTCACAGGGTCCTGTTTGCTGTTTACCGGTCTGTTTTCGGACAAACCCAGAGAGACCCGTGTGGCAAGCTCTTTCTAATCCAGGTGAATTTTAAAAAAAAACAGAACATGTATAGGCCTATGTGGTAGGCTAAGTGTATGAGGAAGGAGTATAACATGGAGGAGCGGTGGCTTGTTATGGCCTAGGGTCGGCCCGCATGACTCCATGTCTCCCTGTAAATGCCTTGTATGTAAGTTTAAGGGTATTTTTTTCAGTCCAATTCTGTCTGGTTTAAGTCACACATGAAGCAAGGAGTTGTAACTCCTTGATATGTAGCGCATACTAGTATAAACTACTTCTAATAGTTTCTTATACGACTCAAATTTAATTGACATGCAAAAGAATAAACCAAATAAATCACCCAGTCAGCCAAAAGTAGCTTAAAAACTGGATCTGCCTCAAATTTCTGACCTTTTTTAGCTTGACCTCCAGGTCATAAACGTCCGCAAAATAACATACCGGAAGTACTTAATGTATAACGCATTTCTGCTTTGCGCAATAATATAAATATTTAAATGAGGACTGGCGAAGACAACCGATGGTTATATAGACATGTAGCACAGGAAGAAAGCAGAAATATATTTTTAAATATCATTTTCCGGGAGCTACTGTATATGAAACGATACTCTTTTAAAAAATAATGCTCCATGTCAAGTATTTGCTCGGGTTTGGGTGCAAATATTTGATTTCAAATGTAACTTTAAATATCTTTTTTTTTAACTTTTAGAAAATGCATCCAATCCCGACTTCGATATAGGAGCATGGCAGTGTGGTCGCACAGAGATAGGAAAGTTTGCCCAACAACTGAAGGAGCTTGGTATCCAGTACACGGGGCTATGCTGTGGTAACGCCTCTAACCTCCTCAGGGTGGTGGCGGAGACGTACGGAAGGAGGCCGCCCGCCAGCCGGTACTCTTCATACCCGAATACTTCGGTCAGAAATCGACCCAAGTTTGCACCGTTAAATATGTGAAGGGGCTTCATAGGGAGGTGATGGCATGTGCGTACAGGAGCTTATACCCCGAGGACAATGGTGACCATTTATTTCACGAGCACCCCATCGTGACTTTATAAGTCTCAATTTAATTTGGTAAAACGGAGTTCTAGTTGTCAAAAACTGAGCAAAATGAACAACATTATGGACCACAAATTTTTGACCAACTTTACCCAAGTACTTTAAGTTTCGAGGGGGCGTGCAAAAAAGTTAAGCTGATATCATTGATTGCGCTTTAATAGCGAGAATTCCAGCTGAAATAGTTCGATCCTGTTGGACCGATAACTTTTAATCTGAAGACAGCCTGGTATAGGATACAAAATTAAAGAACAGACTAGCGACCCCTGTGGTCAAAGAGTACCGTGCTCCGTCCTCTACTATGTCAGTCTAATCTGAGTTAAGATTATTTTAATTATACAAATATAAACATACAGCGGTACTCCAAAACCCCGTAAAATCTTACAGAAAAGGAATAATTCACTTTTAATCATTTATTTTTTCAAACAAAAATTCAAAAGGTGATTATAATTGTCATGTCAAAATATTTGATCAGACACTTAAAGTAACGATTGATTAATAATATGAATTGACAAAAATGGAATAAATGAAAGAGATACACACACTGGACAATAGAAGTGTCACCCCTACTGAACCAATACTTTGGGGGAGATAAATGACTGTGGAATGATATGCTCCTGGTATCATTTTATTAACATCAAATTTCACAAAAGACCAACAATACAATTTCATGGTGCAGCGGTTTTATACTCATTAGTCACATTATAAGTATACTAGGCATTATAACTTTGATTACTCTGATTCAGGGGGTGACACTTCTATTGTCCAGTGTGTGTACTTATACAAAATGTATTTTAACAAGTATTACAAATTGATATGTGAATCAGAATGGTGCCAATTTTCATTTTATGTTTCGAATGAATTGAACTAAAGTGAATTGAATGTAAACTTCCAATTAAAGTAATAAATCGCCACATAGATAACATGATGTACATCTGACTGTTTAATAAAGCTTGTCAATGGAAAGACGATTGCTTTCAAAATTGCAGAAGAGATTTGGATGATTTCGCAAGTAGGCCTAGCCTTACATTTTGCACATCTGTCATCCAATATTTTCTGAGCAAGTAGATATTCAGAAATACTGTAAAATGTTTTTTAAAAACAACGCTATTTTAGATTTATTATAAAAAAAACTATTAAAAAATAAAAACGTTTCCCGGGTCTTTTTTACCAGGAATTTGAGCAACATCGAGTCACGTTTCAAAATTTGAAACACCTTGACTGAAATACTATTAAGGCACATATGCGTAGATGTTAAACAATGAATGATAACATAACTAGAGTCATGTTTTTCTTAAGGCGGTTGATAATTTTAATATTTTACTAAATTTAGTGGAACAAGTGACTTCCTGTCCAGTATTTCTCTCCTAAGGTCACCTCTCTCTTTCTGGAGAGCCGAAATAAAGCACTCCTTTTCTTTCACGGTCACTTGGAGTTTATATCTCTCCTTCTTCATCGCGTTAATCTCCTCAAACATTCGAGCAATGGTGGCTTCTCTGTCTTTTATCGTGTTCTTGAGTTCGCCCACTTCCACCATGAGAGCGGCGCGATGGTCTATAAGGGACTCGAGATTAAGCTCCTGGTCGGCGATTTTCGACCGGCATCCAGCGAGCTTATCCTGGTCCAGTTTCCATAGCCTCGTAGTCTCCTGTAAGTTAGCTTGTGTGTTATGTAATGTGTTTGTGAGCTCGAAGTTTTTGGTTGTGAGATCGGAAATCGTTCCCTCGTGTTGAGCAATTGTGTTACGACAATCGGCAATCGTTCTTTCGTGCGTGGCTATAGTGTCGTAAAGTTTCTTGAGAAGGTTGTCCAAGTTGTTTTCAGTCCGGGACAGCAGACTTTGAACTTTGTCCATGAGATTTTGAGCAGGAGCTCGGGAACCTTTATTATCAGTTCCCGTCTTTGGTAGGTCAGCTGAGTTTCGGCACTTCTCGACTCTTTGTTCGACTTCAGCCATCTCCTTTTCTATTTCTGTAATCTTATTCTTGTACTTCTCAATAAATTTGTCTAGATCGCTGCGTATCGGAGCTTGAAATTTCGATTTGGCACATTTCTGTAGAGATCGGTTGGCTTCTTCAATTGTCTCTTCACAATGTCGCTTCTGTACCTTGAGAGCGTTAAGCGCGGCCATATTGCTTTCCAATTGTTCCATTACGATTTCTCCCAGTCCCGCCTTTTCTATTTCCCATCTTAGCGGAGTGGCCACCATTTTATCAAGTTTCTGAAGCGTCAAAAGCGTTTCTTTACACAGGGTGGTTTTGAAGTCACAGAGCTCTTTATACTTTCTATCCATAAGTGTCTGCAATATTTTCAAACTGTCAACGTCAATGGTGAGGGCCATTTTCTCGTCGTCTGTCGTGATGGTTTCTCGTGCTCTATGCAGCATAACGTCACGGCATATCTTTAACTCTCTGACTAGTTCCGACTTATACTTTTTCAGCACGCAAATCTCTTCATCTTTCAGATTATACTCCGTCACTTTCGTTCTTTTTGGCACGCATTGTTTTTTCTTCAAATGCACCATGTGAGAATAATCTGTCCTATACAAAATATCAGTCAAAGCCAATAAACCCGTGGCGTTCTCCTCCGGTGATGGGACGACCTTCTTCTTTTGGGCTAACTTTTTCTGTTGGGATTTTGGAAACGCTTCAGAAATATCCCCACGGTCTTTACTCTGGGACGGGTCGTCGACGACGTCTTCATCAGCATTTGGTTCCAATAAAGCCGGGACGTCTTCGAACTGACAGGTGTTGGACAAAAGATCCAGTTCCGGTTGAGACAATTTTGTCCTGGAGTACAATTTCCGGGTAATGCGACCTATGGCAGCTTCAGGTCGCGAGGTGATGGCCACGTGATCGCTCGTTGACGACGGCTCCCTGGAGGGCGCCACCATTCGTGCTGCTGTCAACATTTCTCCGCTGAAAAATAAGTAGAAATACATTATTTTAAGATAAAACGTATAACTCTAAAAGGGATTATTTTAAGTTGTCCAAAAAAAAAGTACTCGTTCGTATGCATGAAACCAATTAGTATTTGAAAAATTAATCTACATTAAGTGCGAAACAGCAGTGTGGGCCTTCGCTCATAGTTTCTACATTCGAAGTTTTATATACCAGTACTCTGATTTTGCTATATCATAGGCCAGTAATTATGCACTGTATCGGTTGGTAATGGATCGTCACTCTAGACATTAAATGCCCTGGTACATAGCATTGCCAGGGGCGGATCCAGAGTTATTTTTTGACAGTCTTCCAATTTATCTATGTTGATCCGTCCTCCATTTTTGACCGTCTTCCGAAATACCCGTCAATGTAAACTTGAAAATCTGACCGTCTTCCGGAAGACCCAGAAGACGCCCTAAACCCGCCCCTGATTGCTATATCACTATAACATGTAGGCCCTATCAGGGAAACACTTGCAAGTGGAACTGAAGGTATTGATTCCCATGCAACATGCAATGTAAAAAGTAGTGTACAAAACCAACACAAAATTAAACCACGACCACAATAAACGTTTCTTTGCGCTCAAAAAGAAAAAAAGATTAGGTACTTTGTACGTATCTGAGCGGGATAAAAACTACCATGATCAAAACTACCATGATCACCTTGTCGAATTTCAGAGCGAGCAGGTTCTTTATTTTTTACAGAAATTGTTCATGTTTTTAAATAAATTAAACACGGGTACTCTGTACTTGACTGCCATTCAGAATTTGATCGATCGCGCTTGCTGGTATAATACAACACAACATGCTGGCAAAATACTCGTCAACATCAATCGGTACAGCAACATGAGAACTATTTATTACACTTTTTATAGTTTCCGTGTTTTTATTTTTTTTTCTTCTTTCAAGTGACGGAACAAGAAACGTCCATCACCTCATCGACTTTTAACGGGTACCACAAGGAAGCTGAACACTTAATGACACGCCTTTTAAGCTTACATAACACCCCTTTCTATAAGAGTTAATAAAAATATTATTTACAAAAACTTGGCAGCGGTTAACCTTAAGGTGTTTCGAGGCTAGTCAAATAGTTTTATGCATGCAAATAACTGAGCCATATTCGAGTTTGTTGTTCATGTTTGTTCAAAATTTCGACTGTTAAATGGCAAGGCACCCAGGTATACACAATTACAATATTATTTCATTTAGGCCTACAGTTCTAGCAGTCCGTTGGTCGATTTAGATTACTTGGGTAGAAGAGAAACCTGCAGTTTTGTAAACATTGGCGTTTTACACTAATTTCTATTAGGTTATTAATGCATTATTGATAAAAACAAACCAAAAAAAATCTGGCTGAAATATAGTAGGAAGGTTGCACTGCGAAGCCGACACCACCACCACCACTTGTGGCTTATGATAATTAATAATCAAAAAAGCACACTGTTGTAAAAGCCTGCCAGTGTCTCAAGAAATGCAGAGCTGAGATCTCTGTATCTGAGGGATTGATCACATATATTTACACAACAGTCTGCCAATATAGGTTCAATATTCATGTCACGTTCGAAATATTGATCGTTCTATAGATTTAGGTCAAATGTTGAATTTTGACCTTTGCAAGCGCCCCTAAAATCAATTTAAAGTATGATTATATTTCGCTGAGATTTAATACTCAGTCCATTTTCAGACATCAGCTTACTTAACTTTAAGTTATGGCCAATATTTTGGTGTCTACCTGGTCGAAGTTAATATTGCTTGAAAAAAATATCTGCGCTACAAGTAGTATATAACAGTAACGACACTTGATGAATCTTTTTATGATCTTAGTTGATACAAACAATCTAATAATGGATACGTATTTTTACTAATTTCTCTGAATTTCGTAGCGATCCAGCAATGTGTTCTCGAAGGAAGAAAGAAAGAAAATTACGAAGATAAAAACCCGATAGCGCTGAATACCAAAGATGTCGCCATCAGTGATACTAAAGATAAACAACGGTCTCCAGACAGTTATCTAAGGGTAAACAATTCAACTGTCAGGTTTAAAGCTAATGGAATACAAACCAATGTGCATTGTACATATGTGAGCTTTCACTCCGTGAGAACTTTTCCCTTCCGAAGAAACACAGACAGACACATAAATTTCGATAGTTTTGTGCACGCGAAAAAAAAAAAACAAATCTATGGACAAATGAAGTTTGTGAAGATCGATCCCCAAAGTAACAAGTCTAATAGCGCATATGCCGCTTGCTACACTCAGAAAATTTTCGATAACTTGCCAATTACATTTTCTTTTTAACTCAGTTATTATAAGTAGGTATGGCTTTCAAACTTGGATTTTTGTGAGTGGGTTTAAGACTGTTAATTTACTGTTCCTGTTAAAAACGACATTTTTTATGTCAAATAAACTGAGGTTGCTAATTTAGCACGTGTTTTGCCAGGCGCAGCTGTCACGGAAATCTTAAGCAGTCACGTTCTGAGTTAAAAGCTTAAAGCGCAGCACAAAACACTTCTTTGGTAAATGTAGCATTAGATTTCGTTTTAAAATCATACTACATGTTAGCACGTTTTTGTGATCCCGTCTGCCTTTTAATATTGATTTTACCATACTTAATTTTCTAGTGTTGTTAGTTAAATTTCTTCAGAGGCACATGTAGAGCGTAATTTTCTTAAATGTAAAGATACTGAAATTTCATGGTTTAGAGCGACACAAACCATTCATTTCAGTATTCTAAAACTGTCAATCGTGTTTTAAGAGAAAAAATGTCCCCCACGTATTGCTAATGAGACTGGAGTAGAGTACAATGTCTCCACAGCGGCTTACATGTATCACTTTACAAAGCACACTATATGTAACGGGACTTGAGAGTTAATAATGGACGCTATAAGTAGGCTTTCTGTTCACGTAACAATTGTAACAATTCCTTCTACATCATGTACATGTCAGTCGATATAACACTCATTATATACTTAAAAAAACTTCTTCTCAGCAGAAACTTAGAAGAAACTTAACTATACTGAAGATTAAGCTACAACCGGGTCCTTGGCGCTAGGTTTATGATTAACTTTTAGTCGACCATAAACAGATGACACGTACATGTAATGTCTCCTGTAGCTGTGTAAACGCTGCGTCTAACAACCCACCTACGAGACCAAAACCCGCGTAACAGAAATGGAAACCCTAGGAATGGAAGTTCGGGCTCAAATTTGATTAGAAGAGGTTAGGGGTTAGTGGGAGTATTGAGGTTAGCATGTGGGACGAATGTTACCCACAAAGTAACGGGGAACGGACTACGATTCCTGTTACACCGGCCGACACAATACAATATCATAACATACATTTTGCTTGAAATCATATCATTATAAAAAATCATTTAACAAACTAGCTTTAAGTTACCATGGCGGGGGTCTATTCCCTCCGTTCCTAGGGCTACACCAGCGTTCACCGTCCATCTCTTAAACAGAATCTTCTACCTCAGAGACGCCGCAATCTTGACAGTCAAACCGAGAGTCTGGACAGTTAAAACAAATGACAGCAGCCGGCATTATATCCAAAAACTCTCACGACATCCCTGCCTCAAACCGGAAGCCTCTGTTGCCAGTCAATATTCGAGATCTACTGGACGATATGAACCCTAAGCGTCTTGTTGTCATACAGTAACCTTTCTCAAAGGCACTAAAATAAACTGACTATAAAGAACTATCGCGCGAACCCAATACTTACATAAACAGTACAATCTCTCAGTGGCTGATGTTGTTCAAATAAGATAGAAAGGTGTTAGAGCCTTGGACTAACATGTGAGTTTGGATAGGTCATAGAAACGGCACTTAAAGATAAATACATAATCGCAATGGAACTTGTTCAAATTGAACAGGCATGAGAATTGCGATCTGAAGGAATATTCGGGGAGAGACAGAGGGGGAGGCTGTCTTGGTCGTATTGCTGCCTTGTGAACGGGGTGAGGAGGAACGTTCGCCCGCCTTTGCCTGCCAGAGAATCAGTGATCCTAATACGTAGCTTATCCTTAGTGCCTTAGTAATTAATTTTTCGCACAAATTTCATGATGTATGATGATTTTCCGTGCGGGATACTACTGTTGTCAGGTGCTTCGTTTATAAAGAAACATGTACTTTATCAGGAAGCATTGATCAATATGTTTTTTTCTTTAACCTTCCCCCTAAAAGTTCAATGAGCACCTATTTCCGTCTCTGTATTCCGTTGTTTATTTCTTCGATCGAGGCTCCTTGTTACCAGGTGGTTATTAACAACAATCTCGCCCTCACGCTTCAACGGGCACATTGCAACCACGCGTTCGACGTAACAATCAATATTTGAATTATTCAATTATAAAACCCCAGATCAAATCAGACGGACGTGTAATTCTGTAGAAATGGAATAATTGATCAAAGTGGGAGAAATATGTCACTTGGCCGCGAAAAGTCACACTGGTGTTATTTCTCAAGTTCTTTAAAACATAAGGTTTCTGAAACTCGAGAAGGGCTCTGTGGTTCTTTTCTTCGGTCCCCTACTGGACTAAAGAAAAATATTTCTTTGCCTTATTATTCTTATCGTGTTCCAAACAAAATAATCCCCTAAAGCATTCATGTGTAACTTTATATCCGTAATAAGCCATTTTGCTGACTTAAATTATGCATAGAGAAATATTCATATTTAAAGCTCAACTGGACCCAAGGTTTAACCCCGTACTCTTTAATGATCGATACTTACCCAAGGAACCTTAACTGCCTTTTGATTTAATTACCTAATAAGACGATAGTGGTAATTGATTATTAATACAAAAATATTTGGCTCAACGATTGTCTTGAATGTAAACGCTATCCTTGCGTGAGAAAATTTCCAATAGCAACTAATGAGTTTTCGCCGATAGATCTGTAGGGGCGCAGTACTCGTTCGTACTGAAGCGGAAAAAATGAGTGAGATAATAAGACTCGAAACGTTGAAGTGGGCCTTAGAAAAATGATTTTACTTCCTATCTTCTTGCGCTATAAGCAAAGCCATATACCAGTATAATCAACAGGAGCATGCCGTCCAAAGAAAACTATCCACGATACAGAACGTTCACCTAATTCAAACAATATAATACATGTTTCATATAATATAATACATGCGCCTACAGTTAAATCGAGATATTTGTCCCTTTATTTTATGTCGCTTTTACCCTTATTTGTTTTCTAACTACTGTAGAACTTTTTTCTGACAACGCATTCAGAACCAGAAATGTTGGAAAACCTTAAAAAAACGGATAAAATTATTTACCATTTATACCATAAACTCATCAATGAATTTGACTTTAGACATCAATTTCTCCTTTTATAAAATACAGTTAGAGAAAAACGTCTAGCATATTTATCGCATATAACAGGTAACACACCCATGACAATACACGTGTAATGGCAATCTACCCATAGAAATATCCTGTATTTGATTCCTTCAAATAGTACCACCAGTGTTCATTTTTCTATAGACATTACTCATCTGACAATCTAAAACGTTTTTTTTTTTTTAACCGATCATCTTTTTATTTGTTACTGATAAGCGAGACAAAGACAGAGAAAATCCGTCACTTTCTCTAGTTATTAATTTCACAAACACTTCTCATCCAACAACCATGCGTTTGGCCATACATCAAAATCAATTTTTCTCTTCTTCTACTCAATTAAGCAAGAATATTTTCCCAGAAATACTACTTACTTTAGATTCCTGTGGTCAGCCCGGCTGTCCGTGCACGTTCGTCCTCTATCCTCCGTGGCTGGCGTGTTTATTAACTTCGGCAGCGTAATGCGGCTCATATCGCCTGTGCTTTGTGTGTTGTTTTTAACCAAGTTTCAATAGCCCCTTTTTACACAAGGCGTATTGTTCAACCCGAACGCGTAGAATCCGAGGGAGGAAACGCCGATCCTTAACTTAAATTTAATCAAGGAAGAACCGGTTGCTACTTGCTTTTCCCGTTCCCTAGTCCAACATATAAAATAAAGGAAAATTGTAAATCGATCTGGGAATATTTGCTGGTTCGGTTTTTACCATGCTAGAGGCATATTACATCACGGATACGTGATAAAATCGATGCTGGTATGGTCCGTATCACTCTCTCGAATTTCAATTTCACCTATGCTCGGGTTACTTGGAAATGATAATAGCCAAAATCTAATCCAAATTCAAGAATTACTGGAAGGGAAAGTTTCAAATTTCTCCCCTATAATTTATGTATATATTTTTCACTCGAAAAAGTTTGTCTTATTCGCCCTATCAGTCTCCGTGATCTTCAAAAGTGTGAAAATGCGTTGGCTTAACTTTCAAGACGTCAGTTTTCTTAAAAGTCTAATTTTCACTTGCCAGTTCAAAATAGTGCTCACGTTGCAAATATGTTTCCTGACTTGCATGTTTTTAAATTAAAAGTCAAAGTTCAAAAACGAAAAAGAAATATATGCAGCCATTGGTCCCAGAGGTTCTCATTAGCGGATGATTTTCTTCCCCACTTTTTAAGTTTTAAAAAAGATCATGCGGTAGTTGTTTGATTTTTCATATCACTGAGGGGCCTACCCTCGTCGTTTCCTTCGTATGTTGAAAACTGTTTCATAAATGTAAGTCGGTATTTTACGAAGAGCTGAGCACCCCACTTCGGTGCTAAGAACTTCCAAGCGACAACATTCCTGGTTTTCAGACACCTGAACGCCGGGAAAAAAAAGATAATCCATATATCTACATTTGTTTATAGGTTTGGTTCTGGATCCAGATTCCAATCACCATATTCATCAGTTGGAACTCCACCAGCATAAGTCAACTGTGTGGCGTAGCTATGTAAAAACGGGATTTCATTAATAACTTAAATTGACAAAATCAATATTGCGCCAAGAGAGCGCCGGAATGAAATTCTAATTAAATATTTCCGTGCATAGAATGTTGAGTTTAACCAGCTAATTGGTCGAAACGATCGAAATGCCAAAAGTCAACGGATTATTTTCCATTGTGTAGCGGCTGGATGTGTAAACAGTGTCCATTTTTATTCAATAATCAAAACACTATTGAGTTTACGTACGTTTTGATATCAAACATGTTTCAAAATTGAGCTTTTATTTTCTTTTTTATGTTTATGAGTTATATAGTCCTAACTAAGCTGAGGCAGCACTTGTTTGATTCTTCTCAATATTGTTATCCAGAGGATCGGTAAGGACCCCCCCCCCCCCTCCTCCCCCCAGTAAGAGAGATCTACCTTATTGCGCTTCAACTATTGGTTACGACCTTGGATATCTAAACTAGGCAGATGAATGTAGAACTTTAAAACTGCAATGTAGAGGCTGTGTATATGATGGCTGTCAAAACTCTACTGGGTATACGGAGCACCTCCTCTAAGATTCCGTGTTAGAGCAGGGAATTATATCGTAGGCACGATATACATGCAAGTCCCTGCTTAGAGCAACCCGAAGGGCGCAATTATCAAAGCTTATTTCCCAGAGAAGGGGGGTTTATAGATGACCCTTTCAATTTCGTATGGAATCTTTATATAACTTGAAAGAAAAAAGTCTTTGAATATATAACAAGTTCATTGGAATCTTCAGAGGTAGAGTGGGGAATGGAACTAAAGGAAACAATTTCATCAAAAACTGAATCCAAATTTACTGCGTATCGAGAGACAAAAATGAATCCTCATTTGTCAGTTAGTAGTGTACACAAGCAAAACGCTGATATCCCAGGGCCTTGAGAGGCCTTACATTCACACGTCTCCGCACTTCGTCACATAACCTGGCTATAGAGACTGGGCGGTGGGCCCGTATCTCTAGAGAGGAGAGACTGTGTTTGCGGGGTATCAGTGCAGGCCCGTAGCCAGCAATCGCAAAAGGGGGATTGATTTTCCGAAAAGAAAAATGGGCCTTTTACCATGAAACCTCCTTGAACCTAGATAAAATTCTACCCAGAGGCAAAAGGGGGGGGAGGGGGTGTCCTTCGACACCCCCCTTCTACGGGCCCGTATTGCAAACAAAGAGGCATGTTCTGCTTGAATGCCCTATGACTAAACAACTAAGAGAGCAGTATGAACTCAACTTTAATAGTTTACAGGTAATGAGCTATGTGAAGGCCACGTGGAAGTTGTTGTAGATTCCGTGCACAAAGCGTTTTCCCAGTATTTACATGTATAATTTATTTATCGGCGGCACTGTGTTATTAGCTTTTCCTGCGTTTGTGTGCTTTTAAATTTTGTATTACTTTTTGTTTATGTTGCCACATGGAAATAAACTAATTCTACTACTGCTAACAGTAGGCCTATATGGTGTGTGTGTGTGTGCGTGCGTGTGCGTGCGTGTGTGTGTATTAGGGGGGTTGCACATGGATAAAAAAGATTTTACCTTTTTATCGGTCCCAAGTGATAGGGAATCTGAATCGTCCTTTCGGCAGGCAACAGGTAACTTGGACACCCCTTGGACCCGCATCCGATTCCTTATAGCAATGGATCGTGTTGTGCCAGGCCCACTTAGAATTGCTGTAGTTGAGCTACGTGCTAGCCCAGCTCAGTTAACGCACCTTCTTTAGGAAAGCCGTTGTAACAGGAATGGAAGTCCTAGGAATGGAGGGCCGGTGTAACGTGACAGAGAGTCCCCCATAACAGAGAGGCCAGTGTTCAATCTTAAACTTAAAACGTAAGGCATATACAATCATTCGCGCATCCCTATGATAACTTAGGACACCAACACACGAAGACCAATTTGTTCTTTCAATTGACTTTATTTCGTTGCTTATGTACAATTTTAATAATCGATAATAATTTCAACACGATAAGAAATGCTGCAATGCTTCTCGCAAAATAGAAAACAGAAAAGGTGGTACGCTTTGATTAGCGTGAGAGAGAGAGAGAGAGAGAGAGAGAGAGAAAGCTCCGTGAAAATATTACACTTATTAACAAGTGTACTCTCACCTAACTGTTTAAACTGTATATCACTGAATCACGTACACACAATGTAAAATAAAAACAAGCTCTCTACTAACATCAACCCTGTTGTCCTCGACATGTTCAGATCTCCGGGAAATTGCAAGTGAATCAAAATGCACCTCATTTCTTCATATATTTATATATTTTACAGAATTTTAACTAAAATGCTTATACTCCGTTTACCAGTCATCGTTCCTATCTTCAGAAATGAATGCCATACATAGAAATCTACGAATTTATTATATAAATATCAGACTTTACGAAAGGCCAAAAAATCTGTCAGACATTCGGTCTGACAAGCTTGAAAAGTCTGTCAGACCGAAACAAAATCTGTCAGACCGAAGTAAAATAATAGAAATACGAACCATTATTCATGTTTTCATGGGTATTTTCTAATGTTTTAAATCACTGACATTAAATCAAATATTAAATTTTTGATATATATTTGTAAAAAAGTAAAATAAGAAAGAAAAACAAACAAACAAAAAAATAGACAAAAAATTACTTGCATAACAAGATGTTTTTTATTTAATGAAAAAGACCTTGTGGAATGACACAAGGACTAAGACCAATACAAGTATGAAGAACGTGTAGCTAGTAATATCAAACGTCCCAGATAGCATGACGTCGTCGGCCCGACGTCGATTTCGAGCTACGCATATAACGACGATACGTCGCTAGCTGGCCGCTGTTGGCCCGCTGTCTATACATTAGCGACGTGTAGTTGGCGGGCCGACGACGGAAAGAGCGCTACTTTTCGTCGATAGCCACCGGTGGCCCACCGTCGGGCCACCAGCGACGTAGTTGTTATACGGTCAAATTTTAAATACACGCCAAATTTGTGTACGTGGCTGCTTATTGCGTTACCCCCAGAGCGACGCAAACGATTCTAAGGTCCTTTTAACCTGTTACGGAATGTGCATTTTTTATTGGCTTCTAAATATCACATGACGTCCAACCAGCGACAGTAGCTGGTGGGCCGACGTAGTTGCAGTCGGCGGCCCAACGTCGGCCCACCGGCGACATGCTATCTGGGGTATGTCCATAAAAACGTCTGTTAATCAGATAACCATTTCATCCGTTGTTTTTGGCAATAACATATGCATTTTGAAACAGCACAGTAAGGCAGTCTCTTTCATCCAATCGAAGCTTTGACAGGGACTGTCCAGCCCGAGTCTAAGTTCCTTCTTCATTTTATTTCTTTTTTTTTTTTATAAAAAGAAACTCCAACTGTGAGCTTTCGTCAAGTTCATGTGCACTTTCTCCAACTCGTGGTGAACGGTACATGCAAATACGTACATAAGTTCCATATTTTAAGAACCCGTAGTAAAGCTGTAACATTTATGTTACTATTGATCAAAATGATAACTCGGCACACACTATTTTCCTCTCCTACAGATTACAAGTCCGCCAGGGCCTACCTTCTTTCCAATTTTAGTAAACTTCCGTTTCTCTTCCTCACTTCGTTTTAATTTTAGCCACGCTTTGCACCAACGAAATGTTTAAAGTTCAACAACGTCATTTTCTAAACAAAAGGNTGCACTTTCTCCAACTCGTGGTGAACGGTACATGCAAATACGTACATAAGTTCCATAATTTAAGAACCCGTAATAAAGCTGTAACATTTATGTTACTATTGATCAAAATGATAACTCGGCACACACTATTTTCCTCTCCTACAGATTACAAGTCCGCCAGGGCCTACCTTCTTTCCAATTTTAGTAAACTTCCGTTTCTCTTCCTCACTTCGTTTTAATTTTAGCCACGCTTTGCACCAACGAAGTGTTTAAAGTTCAACAACGTCATTTTCTAAACAAAAGGTTTATCCATGAGTACTGTGTACGACTGATAAAGAAGAAACAGAGGATCAAGTCTGTGAAAACGCAAATAGTACGAGCACGTGTTGCGGCCATTTTGTCGAGTAGGGGTATTACGAAACGAAAACGAGACTGTACATTACATCATCCAGGAATCCCCCAACCTCAACCAGTCACAAAATAGTATTTCTGAGTGAAACTGAGGTTTATAAATTATGTATTAATTAGCTGGGAACTCCCCGAGATTTTCACCCCGTCTCTCTTTTCGAATGAAGTAAAATATATCGTCCAGAAAAGAAACAACAACGTATTCCTTCTATTTACACATTCCCAGTCAGTTTGAAAACTCGCCGGACATAAGGTCCGACGATACAGGATTTTTTATCGGACCGAGACGAAATTTGCCAGGCATGTCCGACGGTCCGACGCCTTTCGTAAAGTCTGAAATATATAATAACTATTTTGTTAGTAACTACAATCAGATGTGATAATCAAGGAATCTCTTGATATGTGGAACCTTTTAGCAGTCCTTTGCCTAATGCAGACTTAAAACACATGCTAGTTTCACTTGTGTAATGGGGCGATTCTGAAGCATTCTATTTCTTACGCCATCAGGAGTTATTGCAATCCTGCAACCTGTTTGTACTACTTCCTGTTAAAAATTATTCATCTGATGAATCTGTGACGTTATTTAATACATAAGTTGAATAAAATATCACTATTATTATTCCTGGATTGCAGTCTCCCCTCGGGTTTTCAACCATGTTAACTGGCTAAGTAAGAAAGGTAATGCTTCAGAAAAAATCCCTCTTGTTGACAGAGACGTACGAAGCCTGAATGAAGCAATCAAAGGCTCTATTCCCATAGATTTTAGATCGATCTATCCCCGTGGGGAGTCTCACTAGATAACTTTCAGATAATCCGACTTAAATGTCCGTCCCGCCTACTACAAGCTATAAGGGGGTAATTAACTTTCGTGTCCGCCCGGCTGACAGCTATTTAGCGTGAACCCCCAGAGAGTTAGGTCGATCTAAAGTAGGTCGATCTAATCTATGGAAATGGGGTGAAAGAGAAAACCCATATAGTCACTACAACCTTTAACACCATCCAATATCAAATACAAAATATTATGCTTTTTATATACCTTATTCACCGTGATGGGCATCTAAAAACTACATTAGAATACACGGGAAATGCTACACAATTCACAGATATATGAATGATATGTAATAAATGCTTTTCTAAGGAATGCTGAGAGAAAAATGCACATTAAATCTAGAAAGCAGGGCCATTATAAATGACAATTATACTATATACATATTCAAGTACTTCACACTCAAGAAGGCTCATCAGATTTAGTTACTTTAAATTCAACATCTTTAAAAGAAAACTCAACATCTGTAAATTAATGATATGTACATATATATACATACCAATGCACAACAAACTAAAGCTTGTACAATCAATAATAATATTTACCTTCCTCGGGGAATATCATTTTTTAAGCAAGTTTAACAGAGTCATTTACTTATAAACCCATTCTTCACTTACAGTTAAATTTTTAAACACAGATTCCACTAAGCTATGTTCCATCTCCGAAGATTATATCATTATCAGACTGCACCTTAAACTTTCACCGAACTAGTAGGTCCCTCGAAAACTGCCAGTCCTTATTTAATATATATATGGTGGGGAATATAATCTCATACGACCCCAAACATTTGAATTATTCAATTTGGTTCAACTATACAGCAATTCCGTGGTCGGGGTAATAAAGAAATCAAACTATATCTATTGTTAGACATCCCCAATCAACAAATTCAGAGAGAGTGCCATAGTATTTAGAGAGATCAGACCGATTTTTTTCACCATGAACAGAGAGAAATGACACAATCTGCCGAGTTATAACATTCTTAGTTTGGCATCATTTATAGACTGGAAATGCCACTCCCTTGGACCTTTCTCTGGCTGAAAGCTGGCCCTGGTTTCACAAAAAAAACTTGAGTCAGTTCCCTGGCAAAGTTGACTAGGATTTCCATGAGTGCTGATACACTGTTCCTGATAGGGTAAGATGTGACCATGTGACCATGTAACCTTGGTAATTGAGTTCCTAGCCAGGGAACCCGACTTAAGTATTTTTGCGAAACTGGGGGCTGGACAGTTCTGAAATGTTTCTATGGGAAGAATCTGTTACTTTCTACAAAAAACACTTCATAGAGCATAAATCCAAGTTTCAGCTCCATGGAAGACAACAACATCTCTCAAATATTATGTACAGACTTTAAAGCACTAATATTACAACATTAAAAAAGATATTAAAATCACTTACAAGACATATTGCAAGAAAATATCATAGAAGCACTAATATCTCCAAAAATGGATATGTAATCTCAAAAATTTTGTCAAAAATTGACTTTATATCTTGACTTAAATGTGTACCTATAAATTCATTCTTTTTTTCTCACAAAAAAATTGAACCAATGAACAAACCCATGTTATTTAATGGTCCCTAATTACTTATTAAGTACTTATGTGAAAACAAAAATCAGCAGTGAATATTTGGTCCTTCCTGTTATATCAATGTCTAAGTCATATACAGACTGCATAATTCATTTTTACTTATATTTATAATATGAGCCATGTTAATAAAAAATAGTTTTCTTTGATGATACAATACTGCTTGCAGAAAAAAAAACTCCAGTTTATAACATCAAGTATATTACTGCAAGTTTAAATTGCACAATACATCAACCCTCTGATATGTAATTCAATATGCAAGGCTGGTGTAAATTAGGTCCCCTGGCAACCAATGGTAGCTAAGCAACCTGTGATTTAACTTACATTTAAGGCAATGTTGCCAGGTAATAACAACTGGTTACTGTGCAACAAGATTTCTGTTACAGACTAGTTAAAGTGTTGCTAGGCAACATCTAAGAGTTGATAACTATTTCTGCAATCTTGATTACGATAGAAAATTTTTGTTGCTTGTCACTGTTTATTTGAATAAAAACAACTTCTTAACCTGCAAGGTGCTTGTATCAGTGCACAGTATTAAAAAAAACATTTACATTGTGTTTTCTGTAGCAATCAAAAACTAAACAGTTCTCATTTCAGTATGAGCCAACACAAACAAATCACATCACCAACAGTATACACAAATTGTTCACAAGGCTCCTTTTATCTTGAATAAAAAGCAGAAACCTTTCTAAGAGAAACGATGTACTACCACCAGTAACCGCAGGTTGTTCATGACTCTTGGTCTTGTGGCCTTTCCATGACATAGTTTCGCATGTTTAGTTTGCACCACTGCAAGGTTTTTGTTCATTTTTTGTACTGTCCTAAAGTACATACAAGACAGAAATGAGGAATTTTCCAATTTGATATTGGAAATCCCTCATCGGCTGTTTATTTTGTGGCATTTCTATGGTCTCGTTTCCCATAATTACAGCACAAAGATAGCCCAATAATATGGGACTACACTGCTACAGCTTTCCTGTTCTCTTTTTTTTCCTATACCCATAAGATCACGTCAAACAGGAATGAAAATTACACCACTGAATACTCCAAATTGTTCATGGGCTCATTTTCTGTGATAGCACTAGGGTCAAACCATTCGTAGCTAGTGAACATTCACAGCTTCCAGACAACATAATATTCCCCATGCCCAAAAAGTCTTTTGAATTCTTGCAACTTGATGTTTTTTCTTTCTTGTAAGTCCAATAAGATATGCAAAATTATTCACACAAAATGCTGTCTCTGATAAACTGTCGCAAGACTGCAATTCCACTATATCATCCTATCTGAATCAGAGATGCATTCATTTCTACTACTGGGGATACATTTCTTCAATTTTTAAAAAAGCTCAATGATATTTTAGGTCACTTCAAGACCAGAACCTCCATCACTCATTTGAAGACAGAACAACTTTTTTCAAAAGCTTCAGCAAGATAAAACAACAAGGTTGCTGCACCTGCACTGCTGCCTCCTATCTTTCTTACAGCACACTAGAAGATTCATTCTGCTGCGGTTGCTGCTGTGAAGGTGCCTGATGATGTTGCTGCTGTTGTTGATTCTGCTGCTGTTGTACTTGCTGCTGCTGTTGTTGAAGTTGGTTTTGCGCCACAGAGGCGACATCTGGCCCGGGACCAGACTGGTGCATTCTGGGATTATTGAGAGGTTCCTGGCTGTCGCCTGATGTGTCTGAGTTGGACGGAGCGCGGGTGGTGTCACACTGATGGCTGGCCTCTCTCAGAACCTTACAATATTAAAACCTCCAATTGTTAGAAACAGTAGTTATTACTGAACTTGTACTTTTGATACACACTTAAAGCATTCAAAAATATAGTGATAAACTACAGAAAACAACAACAACAACAACAACAAACAAAAAACCTTTACAAAAAATTCAAAAATTTACAAAATAAGTATAATTCTTCTTTGTCCATTAAAAATTACTTAAAATCTTTCCTACGATATTAACTACAAATCATAAACCACTTTGGACCCTTCGCTTTGCATCGGGTCCCATTTCCTCTCACTGGGCGCTATTCCACATAGTCCCCTCAGGACTGTGCACTATTTGTTTAACATTCAGTGATACATGTGGTTAAAATGACCACAGAGTAGCTCTGCCCACCTGCAAGTGTTCTTCCACCTCAGCCAGGGACTGCTCTATCCAGTCCAGAACACCGGTCATCCTGCAGCCATTCTTGGTCAGCAGGACCAGGTGGGTGACCGATAGGACCAAGGCTGTGCACCTGTTGATATTATAGAGAACACTATATATATACATGTACTGATACAGGAGATATCACATTTATCTATCTTTACCTGAGGTTTCTCTCTCTCTCTCTCTCTCTCTCTCTCTCTCACGCACACATGCATGCACGCACAGACACGTACAAACTTAGAGATAAAACGACAATGAGAAGCAGCAGTAAACCTGATATAAAGAACACTATTAACATACAGATAGTACTCATAAATTAGATATCATATATTTGTATCACTACATAAAATAAATAAATAATTTTAAAAATACATGTTTTGTACATGATGAGATAAATATACTAGTACACCACTCACCTTGCCTCCAGAAGTCTAGGGTCAAGAGGCGGGTACATACACCTGACCACTGCGTCTACGCGGGGAGATATCCTCTTAGCAATGGCCACTATATCCGTTAACGTCTCCGGGGACCGCATGGAGCCGCCATTTCTCATTGTCATGGCAACCAGTTTGTCGGTCAGCAGGTGACAGGTTTTCAGTATGGCGATGCAGTGTGGGACCAGTCCTCTGAAGAGGAAAGTGAAAACGAAAGTAATATTTTACTTCATTATCTTTATCAATTCAAACAAAGATGAAATGTTAGTAGAATGCAAATGATGTGCGCTAGCAAGTCTATGAAGGTGACCAACAAAAGATTAAATTTCTTTGGTAAGTTGTGTTTTCCTTTCTCTTATCATAAATATTATACATAAATCAATATTTTAACTTTTTTTGTGTGCTATTATATGTGTGCTTAGACTTTGTACAGGTTAAAATATGCATTTTATACAGTTTCTTTCCTTCCTTATTTTAGACCTGACCCAGGTGGTAGAATTGACCCAAGTCATTTGGTCACTGTTTTTTTATGTTGTGGTATGCAAAGGTTGATGCTCCCTGATCAAAGACCTATCTATTCTGCATACAAAATACATTTCATCATGCATAAGCGAGAAGACAAATGACCTACGTGGCATCATTAACCCAGATATCGTCCTGCAAAATCTCTTCTATGTTTGGGTGAGTGAGACGGACATCGTCCAGCTCAAGGTCGGTGCCGTTGTTGTCATTTCCCTCCATGGCGTCGACAAGCTGGACATCAGGTCTGAAAGAAAACAAACAGAGATGTGTATACAAATACAAAGAAAAACATGCCATAAACTTTTCTTAAAATCAATATTATGAGCATTATGCAAATGTTGTCATAATTACTTATCTAGAGGGAAAAGATATCAGGCGTTATTATACACATTTTTTCTCCTACATTTTTTCAGATTCAATGAAAAATTCTTTAGGATAAATATTTTATTTTTGGCATTCTTAGGCCGAATGTGGAAAATTTAAGTCCCTTAGCTTACTTAAGACATTATATTTCAATAAGATTATCTCTGCAAACATGTAAAATCAAAATATACTGATATGTTTCATTGCTCACAATTAAAACCAAAGTATCTTGCAATCAATTGAAGGGTCCTTCTAAAAGCATAATCAATTAAACCAAAGACACTAGTGTGGCATACCAAGAGAGAGAGAGAGAGAGAGAGAGAGAGAGAGAGAGAGAGAGAGAGAGAGAGAGAGAGAGAGAGAGAGANGTGCTATATATAACACACCCATACACTGGTACTTTTGTGTGTAATTTTCCACCAGTGTAAATACCTGACGCCTTAAATTGTTTGTATCTGAATGTAAAATAGAAAATGCCTGGCAGTGTTAAGTGTTGACGTAGTTTTACAAAGATCCGGGTTGTCTGATGCCTGTGTGATATAAGTCGGTAATAGTTCCAAGAAAAAGTCGTTGTCTGAAAAGAGTAACGTCAAGGTAAAACATGGCGAAAATATGAAATCATTAAAGGACACTTTATCATTCCAAATTATACCTGTGCATGGTCCTCAAACTGTGGAACACACACACACACACACAGAGAGAGAGAGAGAGAGAGAGAGAGAGAGAGAGAGAGAGAGAGAGAGATATCAGGCACCACAGGTCAGAGAGAAATCATGGTGGTACCAGTCATCCCCCATCCCACTGGGGAAATCATGTGTAACAAGGAATAACATCAAGTCATACTATGGCTCTCCAGAGAATACACCATCCAGGCGTGCATGAATTCCTTTTTCAGTTATTGAGCATGTTAAACCAACAGAAATGATAGTGGACCCTTAATTAAAATAAAAATCCAGAAAATTGCAAGCACCGATGGTGCAAAGCTTCATAAGAATAGGATGGGGATGTGTGGCCATAAAGAATACATACAACACCCAAATACCCACACCAAACAGGAAGACTTTCATGTTTCAACCAAAACTGTTGGCACGCTCTAGGATAAAATTTGTGTTTGACATAAACCTAAATAAAGTAGGCGAAATCAAAACGTAAAACAATTTCCGTGATTAATCTAGCTGAAAATAAGCAGCAACACTGAATTCAGCCTGCTAAAAAACAAACCATCCGAAGATTAATGAAATTTGGGGCCACTTTCGCAAAAAAACTTTAAGCTGATCACTGGACAGGTATACTTTTAATACTTAGACTCAAAATTTAATTCTAATTTGACACAGGAAAAATGTCTACTTACTGTAGTAGCCCACCCATTTAAGAATATCGGATCCATTAAAAAAAATTAAATAAATAAAAATCAGAAGAAGTTCTAAATGAATGGTGCCTCATATGTTAAGTTTCCTTATTATAGTGGACCTCTTCAGATTCATCATAAACCAAAACAGACCAGAATTTTCAGTCAAAAACCTCAGCCCACCTTTCAACTTCAGCTCTTTAGTATCAAAGGCCCCTGCACCCTGAAAATCCCCCCAAAACACACACACACACACACACACACACACACACACACTGACCTGTTCTCCGTGTGCTGCCTGGAGAGTAAATCCACGCGACGGCAGTACTTGTGTCTGCACACGATAATCAGGCAGACCAGGGACCCGACAAAAATGGTGGCCAGTATCCCTATAGAAACTGCGACTATGGTATCCATCTCCATGGCATCAAGCATTTGGGGGCTGCCCTGAGTGGCTGGCAGGGGCGGAGGCGATGTGGTGGTCCCCAGTGTTCTAGATGGCGCTGTATACTGTAGTCAAATATTTTAGCAAGCCTCAAGTGTTATTTTTTTTCACTCCAAATTCCCATCAAGGTTGACCAGGTTACAGCTGGTATCAAAATCTCCTTGTCTCCTACTTGTTAGATGCAACTTCTATTTATAAATTTTTATGAGGTTTCAAAAAAATAATTTTTTGTAGAGAAGTTTCTCTGTTCTAGGTCAGATTTCCAAATTTCTTCTTTGCGATTCCAAGATAGCAATTTTCTGGTATAATTCCGCTAATCGGGAGTCTGAATTTCAGCTAATTTTCCTTGTGTATCAAAATATGTTTTTCATGGGGTTTCTGGACACCACACTTTTACAGTAGTAGATTATCTTTTCTCCTTGTGATATATCTGAAATGACATGAGAAATTTGAAATAATTAACATAACATCATTCTGAAATAATTTTAACAACATTACCACAGCCATAAAGCAACCACTTTAAAATAAGCTTTAACATTAAACTTAATTTATTCCTGCAAACTTCGCCCCATCTAAAAGGAAACAAACCCCACGAGACAAAAAACCATAAAAACCCAGATTCCACCTAGAAGCTATGGTAATTTTATGACGTCCTGACCTTGCGCAAGATAAGAAAGATATCAATCAGAAAAATATTAAAAAATAATATTTCTCTAAGACAAGTCTAATTCATTTTGCCATCAATGACTCATATTATTCTAATGAGACAAAATTTTTAGGTGAAATAAAAATTATTTTGGTCGGGACCACACAAAGCATCATCCCCTACAGGCAGAACATGACATGCATTGGAGTGTTGACATTTCGACAAACTAACATCGCATTTGGTTAAGTCAACACCTCCGGCCCTGCCTTCTCAGACAGGACATAAAAAATGACATTAAAACATAACAGCTGATGTCCCAGGGGCCTGTGGCATTACAGAAGTCATGATCCAAAAATACTTTTATCTCTTTAACTTATGATTTTTATCTCCTTCAATTCAATTTAAGTCTATAGTAGTCTACTTTAAGTAATTTTTGGTTTGAAAAGCTAAATCTACTTCAATTTATTAATAATCTATCTATTTAGTAGTCTCTTAATGAAGCAACATTAAGTCATATGCTTTAGAATAAAGGAGAAGCAATATTTTATCTTCTTGAGCTTCACGTTTGATACTGTTCTGCAACCTAATGAGATTCTAAGACTAACTAGAGGATCAGAGAGGCGATACCGCCTCTGGATATTGTACCACCAGCTGGAGTAAGCGCATTCGTATGGACACCACCACCAGTCTTGTGCTTGACAAGCTCTATAAAATGCAATTAACAAGAATTCTCAAAATATGCAAAAAAAAAAAAAAAAACATAACAGTTAAAATGGTCCAATCAAAGAGATGTTCAAATTGACCTGTATTTTCATAACACTGATCACTCCTATGATTTTCTAGACAATAGGCCTATGGGTTTTCCTCGAAATGCGTTATCAGTATTGCATATACCGGTGCTGACAAAAGAGAAAACCTAGGGACAACACTGGGCAGATTTCTGCTAGTTTTGAAGATATGAAGGGCAAGAAAATATCAAAGGTCAATTTCAAGGTCACAGTAAGATTGCCAGTATATGACTTCCTATTCAAGTTGAATAGTAACTTTGGACCTATCTCTGCCAGTTATCAAAATATAAAGGATAGAAAATTTGCAAAGTTCAGTTCATGGTGAAAAGTAGGTCAAAGGTCAATTTTAAGGTCACAGTTATATTACCAGTATATAACTTCCTATTATAGTTCNTGAAACAGAAACAACTCAGTAGACTAAGCATTTAGCTGCTGCCATTTCAAATTTTGGGTGAATGATGATGCAGATGAAGATGATGATGATGGACTAAAAGTATAATGCTGATTAATCTTGCACCAAACAGACTGCAAATCCAACCCTCCAGTCAAAACCAAAGTGACTTATTTGATATTTGGCAAAGCTGGACCCCCAAAGGGAATGTTTTACATTACCGCCTGTGTAAACGAGGCCATAATGAGCACTCATCAACTTATTCCATAAACCAACCAGTTTAATAGCTCCCCCAGGCAGACGGTTTTATTGCGGCTATCATGACGGCGATAGAAAATTGAATTACCTAAAGCATGTCTGAAACCCTTGTTTTTTTAAATTGGTTTAGGGCTTCATTCAGTAATCATAAACCAAGCGCAGCATTTTGATCAGCACAATCTCAGGTGCAATAGGGCATTAATTTGGCCGTGTTTCCACTAAAGTTGGGTCGGTTTATCATGGCACAATCTACCTCGCTTTGCCATTTTTATTATTTTTATATAAAAATGAAGTGGTGGTGAGCACACTGTGCACACACACATGCATGCGCACACAAACACATGGTCTGACTGATATCAAACATCAACAAAATTCCCTACCACTTTTAGAAGAAACTTCACATAATGACCCATATTTCAGCATTGTGAGGACTCACCACCCATACAAATCCAATTTATCATTCATCAGTTCAGAAATATGTCACCTACACATGAAATTCCAGTCAGCTAAGTGGCTTACTTTTAAGCTTAACAAGTGCAAGCCTAATAAACGGATTAGGCATTTACTATCACTACCCTCAGATCTTTTAGCACTAACGCCCAAATGCCCAAATTTGCGGGTTATGTGGCTAATATGGGTGTAAGTGCTAAAAGATCTACGGGTAGTGTTAGTAAACGCCTTATCCATTTATAAGGCCTGAAGTGTCTGATTTTTATAATATTCTGTTTATGTTTCAGAGCTTCCTATATTTCAGTTCAAGTAAATGTGCCTTAACACCCAAGCTGCTAAGACAATGTGTAAGAATTTATTCCCCTCAAAGAGAAACCTGCGGCTGATTTCAGTTTATGACCTGGCATAGAATTTTATTATGACTGCTCTGAGGGAAACTGCCTACGTATGCATGTGCACATTCACAGGCATGTGTTGTGCGAGGGTGAGCATGTACGTTTGTGTATGTGTGAGAGACAAAGTCAAAGAGAAAGCCTGAAAGTTACATATATCTATCTTTTTGTACTATCAAAAAAAAAATCAATGCTCAACGTAAAGGGTTAACTGTTTGTCAAAAATGCATTCAAACTTAATAAGAAAAATGAAATACTTTTATATAATCCCCATTTTTTCTTTCACCTAGCTAATTTTTTATTTCATTAACTGAATCATAACAAATCTGAATGAAAAGTCGAAAACCCACAATCAATACAAAAAGGGGAAAAAAGTGCAGTAGTTTGCACTTGTTGACTGTCTGACATTCTATCAGATTTTTTTTACCTCGACCTATTGTGTTGTCTGGCATTCGAATGGTGTTTCAGTTTTATTTTCCAGGACTGAACTGGATTCAAACTCCCCCAGATCCTTGTTAAGGAATGCTTTCACAGCTTTGGTCGCCATGGAGGCATTTTTGGATCAAACATTTATTTATTCATTCTGACAAACGTACCTACCCATTGTAACAATTTCAGCAAAATTTTTCTATTGCTGCTGTTTTGATTTTATGTCAGGGTTTTTCTTCACATTTAATTTGGTCAAAATTACTGCTCATAATGGCTGGGCAATGTTATTAAGGTGAAAGCTTTGAACCCAGCCTGCTTTATTACCATGGCAACGGGTAATAGACAAAACTGCAGTCTCATTAGTGAGCAATTATTGTCTTGTCAGCAGTGATGACTTTAAATTAAAGCCTATTGTTATCATTCTCCCAGCTTAGCACACAGCCATCCCGTTTTTTTTTTTCTCGTAAAAGTACAGATGCCTGTTAGATTTAAAAGTACAGATTTCAGACAGAAAATGCCTTAGAGTAAAAATAGGTCACGTTTTTTACACATTTCAGTCAAAATAACTCTAGCACTGCTTACCTGTGCATCATATACGTTATCTTACTTCATCACTTCTCCAACGAATCCTGTCAAAAATGACTAACCCTATTTTTAGCATGACACCAAAGCCATATTAAGATTAAGTGATAAAAAAAATGCTTATTTATTGCAAAAGTTTTTAAAAAATCACATATTTTTATGAAGAATCCTTTACTTATTTGTTAATTTATTTATTTTGCAAAAGTTTAAAAATATCACATTTTACCTTTCAAAAAGATCATGATGAAAATACAAGTTATTTACTACTCCTCTTATAACAAAACAGTCATTTCTCAGTCATTTGACCTTTAATTTCACAGGTCTGGGGTCTTATTAACCTATAATTCACTTTCTTAAAATGAGAGCAAGTTGAACTAAAAATAGAGATAGCAATGATCCACTCTATTCTTACTTATTTCTCAACTCTGAATATGTACTATGTACAACATTAATCTGATGTCTAGAGAGATATGGCTGCAAACCACTGACATATCCCAGCATCTTCAACATTAAAATATCATAGCAATTAGATCTTAAATAAGATACAGTTGGAGACTTGGGCATGGTTTCACAAAATTACTTCAGACCGAGAAATGTTACCTTATTTTCATCCAAGACAAATTAATGATGAAACTAATCCACTTGAATGAAATACTGAGACTTTGTAAAAATATTAAGATATAGTTTAATGTATACAACAATAGCTAAATTCTATCTTAACAGTGTTATTGAAAATGTATAGCAACAACTTTAATATATGTTTTAAAATTATAGCAATATTCAGTATCATAACTGTAACACTGAACTTTAAGGTGTGAATAAATCTCATCATGCATCATCATTATTATTATCATTATCATTATTATTCAACATTTTTATCATCATCATCATCATCATTTTTGTAAACTACTACAGACTTATATTGGACTGAAAAGAAATATGGGGTTTAGGCTGAAGTTGAGACCAAACTTCAGTCCCAAATTTTTGTGTGTGATAGCGCTCCAGGACTCGCCTCCTGAAGACCGACAAACCATTAAGACTCTGTTCCCATACCTAGATCGATCTATCTCTGAGGGGTTTTTCGCTAAATTGCTTTCAGCTTAAGCAGCTCTGACATCTGGCATGCCTACTGAAGGGGGTAATTAAATACAGCTTAGCACTTCAGTAGGCATGCAAGACATCTACAGTAAGCTGCTTAAGCTGAATGAAATTTAGCGAGAATCCCCTTGGAGATAGATCGACCCTGTTAGTGCAATAGGGATGTGGGAATGGTCCCTAACTCTCGGTAGCAATCTCTCCTCTGATCTCCCAACCTTAGATGATGCTATCAGTACAGTTGAATCAGAGGTAATGGCCAGGATGGCAGAAATGACCCTCTGGAAATGAGGTCACATAAAAAGAAAACATATTTACCGGTATTTGACAGGCGGACACCTCATAAAAGTCGGTTATCATTATTATTTTTATTATTACTGTCTTTTTTATATGGATTTCATCTTTGGGCTTATAATTTTGATACGGATTAGTTTTCTGTAGCCTTCCCATGTAAGTTATTGTCAGGGGAGAGGGGGGGGGCTGAAAAGTTTAGGGAACTGTTTGTTTAACTACTACTGGTTGACGATTGATGAGTTTTTCAAGAATATAACTCCTTTATTGGATTATGCTGAATAGCAAGTTGACAAAATCAGCCAATTTCATGGTGCAATGACTTATTGTGCTCCTGGGGGTGGTGACCAAAAGTCCAATCTTTATTGTTCCCTAAGTCACGTTTCTCCTATTGTGTAGACCAGGTCAAAGCAAAACTTATGCAAAATATATTTCATTGTGTCATGATGCATTTTAGTTCTGATCCTTTTTAACTTTAAAACATGTTTAAAGCCAGAATTACTGAAAAAGTTGTCTGAATGCAGCGTCTGTACCCAGTCTTATTCTAAAAACTGAACATAACATCTTCATCTGTGTAACTCTCACTACCCTTTGTTTTTATTTTCTCACCCACCCACCCTTAAAATGGGGGGGTATACTTATGTTATCATCAGTAGTTTATTTATACACATATTGTGTCAAGCTTATTTCCTGTTATAAAATTATTATAGTCTATTTATTCCTATCACATGTTCAGTGTGGTTACTTAAGAGTTTTTTTTAATCCATTCCCTTTAATAAACTTAAAACTTTAATAACCTGAAAGTGCTAATATTGGGTTTTAAACCAGTTTGTACGCAACATTTCAGACCGGCCCAAGAGGTTTGTTCTGAAGCGTCAGCCTGTGAACTCACTCGAACCCAGGGCCATCCATCACTCGAGAGACAAAGAGATAATCCATTTATGGACCTGTCTCACATGTTAATGAAGCTTCCACCTCCATCAGGAGTACTACCATGATTACGCTGTCGTTTTTATAGCCTCGCCGTTGCCTTAGGTGAAGTACAAGGACGTCTCTTTCAAAACAGGTCACAATAGCATGTACCTTCAGCGAAAGCTTGATACTAATTTATCTGCACTGGAGTAATTGAAATTAGCGTCTGATCTGTTCTGCAGCCATCGAGTAAAAATTTGGATTGGTCTGGGTTTTTTTTTTCAACAGAAGCCCAAGGTGTTTTTAGTTGAATTTCAATGTATGCATCACCTTTTTATATGGTAGCTTTTTCAAAATCCTGAATTATATTGGCACAAATTACTTTATTAACTCAAAGTTGATTTCAAGCACATTCAACTTTTTCCTTCCAGCTAAGAGTTAATACCTCTCCTTCCACTCATTCAAAGCTTTGTATTCCATCACCTTTTATGGGTCATTTTTTGAAGTTGGTTAAGTCAAATGGAAATTCACTGCAATTTCTTGCCATTAATCGCTGTCTTTTTTAATCCCTTCTACAACCAACCCCTGAAGGACTTGTTCCAAAATAAAACCTTCGACTTATATTTTTCTGGCCATCGGGAGCTTAGAGTCATGAAGCAACTTCCAGCATCATTGCAAGCAGACATTCAACGCCACGAGGTGGGCATGCTATAGCGCTATCAGTGAAGGCGTAGGTTAACTGGCACTACCATCTAAACAACTCACGAAACAGTAAAGACATAATGTGAAATTGTAATTAAACTGTATGCTGTTTTCACATGCAAACTGCTAATGTTTTTTTGAGTTTTTATTTTCTCATGGGCATTTTTCGGATGATTGTCAATTTCTGTGTGAATATATCACAAGTGTCTGTCACCTGTGTGGCTATAAATGCGAGTCTAAAATTAGTTCACATATGCACAATACTTTCTTCTCTGAAAAACACACTTGTCACCAAATCAAAGACAAATGCATTTATAAATAAAATTTAAAGTACATAAGGCAGTTTGCAACATGCCAGTTTAAGCCTGTTTTTCACCAATCATGACATTTTTTTTGTTCTAAAATGTATTAATCAATTATGAAAATATTGTCATTTCAAGCCATTGAGAAAACTAGGAACTATCTCTAGCAAAACTGAAACATCTTAGGGCATTGCAGCAACTTCTGAAACATGCTCCCTTATTTATAAATCATATGCCATTCAAGTTATCAACTCACACACTTCACTCATGCTGAGGTTTTGAGATGGTGGGTGTCATTCCAATCTGAAACTAGAGGATCAGAGAGGCGATNCAAGTTGAGGTTATATGTGACCTAAATCCAAGAGATGGGGACAGGGGTCCTTGCGGTCTTGGAGGAGAAGCGGTAACGTTGACTTGTATCCGGCGCCAGTACGCGGAGCCGGCGGAGCCAACGGAGCCGGCGGAGCCGGCGGAGCAGGCGGAGCCGGACGAGACGGGTCGGGACTAAAACCATGAGTACCGCCAGCGTACACGCTGGTGGTACTAATAACCTTTGCAAAAATTCAATCCACTCTGCAAAATAACTCCTCAGGGGAAAAAGGTTTTCTTAATTTTATCATTGAAAATAATATCAAAATCTTGTAGATCTCATGATAAATCTCATAGTAAGTAAGTGTTTTCAATAATATAAATAAAACATAATTGACTAAAAAATTCCATTTGAAAACACTTTGTCAGAAACGTATCTGAAAACAGTGATTTGTAATTTCTATTAAAAAAATAAAGGCTTATGTCAGAAAATATATTCTTGCAGGCATTTTAAAACAATAAACAATTATTTAAAAAAGATTGTTCAACTTAACAAAATTTCCGAAATTTGTGAAAAAAAATCCATTGTTCCACACTGTAGATTACCTGGCCCTAGTTTAGCTCCAAACAATCTGGAAATGCACCAAGAACACATGCTCTCTCCTTCCCAACTTATTTTTTTGCATTTTTCCCTTCCATGTGCCCGATGTTATTCTTTTATTTGAAATCTCCAGCCCCAGTTAAGTCAACATTTCCTAACTCACAAAACAAGAATAGACAGGGGGATAAAACAAAAACACATGGACAAAGAGGATGTTTTTTTCCACTTGGAATATAACCTTACCTTTATTCCTTGGCTCTTTTTTTTTTCCCTGTAAAATTCTCTTTTTAACTTCTTTTCAACCACATGATTGCTTCCAGGATCTTCTTATTCTGAATAAGGAGGAAACTAAATTCCAACACAGTCATAATACAGATTTACATGATAAAGCAATCAGGTGAGCCAAGCACAATGCTTTTTTTTATCATTTTAAAACAACATGTACTTCCTTGTGGTTAAACACTTCTATCTATTCTTACACACATAAGTACACCTTTTAATGGCAATTTTCATACAAACATAAAGAACTCATAAGTTCTTTGCATAAAACCCTACATAAAACAATACTAGTAAAAACTTACTACCCTCTGAGCACCATAGAAAATGTACATACTTTATTGATTAATATCCTTTAATTTTAACCTACTAAGGTGAACCCATAAACTTAAGCCTAAACATATATTGAAACATCTGCAACAGTATAATTATTTGCACAGAACACTTTTAACCTTGCGGGGGCACCAAACACTGCAGGCCATGGGGGGGGGGGGGGGGATTTCTAAACTATTTTGGATAATTCGCGAACTAAATTACTTCAATATCACACCACTTGTTGGCTCCTTAGGTGTCCAAGCTGGAAAACAGAGAATAAGATCTGAATTTCTTTTCTATGTTTTAGGCAAAATAAATGGCTAAATTTTTTCAAGGTGATATCAATTTTCGCCTCGTTAGGTGTGTGCACTGATAATCCCGTCAGGTCAATGCGGTGTATACACAGGCGATAGCTTGTTGTTTTATCTAAGAGGTTTGGGCTGCATTCCCCCGTGTTTTCCACCCCTTCAAATAATGAGGACCACTTTGCCAAAAAAGCGTAAAGATTTCTTGACCTCCACGCGGATAGAGAATGAAACACCTCACTTGACTGATTTATTCCACATATATTACTCCTACTTATCCCACTTAGCTGTCTATATATAATATTATGCATGGGAATATGGACTAACTTCTGGGCAAATCTTCTAAAAAAAGAAAAAAAAAGAGACTTCTGAAGATACTGAGCAATAAAAATGTCTAAGACCTTCAGAGAGTTGAAAAAAAAAAAATGAATTAATCATGTCTGGGTTATTGCCTCATTACTACATGATACATTGGAGCCCAACATTTTAATACAAACACTCAAGAGTTTACAAGTAACAATGCTCAAATTATTATGAAGCAAAAATCTGAAAAGAATGTACTAGTATATAGTACAACTAACTTCTGCAGATTACTTGTAAGCTGGCCCTATTATAAATTCTCTCTGATCACTGTATTTGCAATGGGTTTCTACGGGGATTTTGTTTGTAAATTGTGCCTCCTACACAACTATTGGAAAGCAAGAAATTTTTGCTAACACTAAATATTAGGCTTCGTTCACATGCAATGTCTATTTTCTAAATTCTATTTTCTATTCGCGCTATCTTATGATCACGGTCTGTGCACTGAATATCCCGCCGCGTAATTACTGGCAGCGCGAGCCAGTTACTTATAGTAACTTATAGTAACTGGCTCGCGCTGCCAGTAATTACGCGGCGGGACATTCAGTGCACAGACCGTGATCATAAGACATGCCGCAAATAGAAAATAGAATTTAGAAAATAGACATTGCATGTGAACGAAGCCTTAGTCTCTCTCTTTCTCTTTAAAAACACACACACACTCACACACAATGTGACACAGCATACCTCACATCTAAGAAGGAAACCCCCCTTGCTCCGTTTTAAAATATAATGTGTTTTAATATATTGTATATCAAGACATGTCATTTATTACATCTGTCTTTTTGCTACAAGCATTTTTTTCTTAGTCATCGCAGCCCAGACTAGTTTAATACCACAATATACTAGCACTCAGGCTTGTTCTACCAGTATAGCCGACTTCTTCAGTTATTTAACGTGTCCACTTATTGTTAACTAAATGGTCACTTACCCGTCCACTTATGGTCAATGCCAGTGCCTGGCTGTCCACTACATACTGACCAAGATGTGTGTTTTTCTCTTTTTTTATTAAAGGGACATGTCAAAGATGTCTCTCTCTGTAAGAAATAAGAAAAATTTCAGTGCAACAGTTGAACACCAAATATAACCACTAAACAACTGACTTATCAGAATACAGTCTTTCAACAAATATATATACCGATCAAATAACACGAATCAAGGCAAACAGATTAATAAATTTATAAATAAATATATATATACATTTTTGTAGCTGACAATGAAAGGTCCTAGGACAAGATACCATCTGTTATATAACCTTATTTCATCAACAAACAAACATACTAGTTAGGTATTGACCCACCTCAACAGGACTTGCTCATTTGCAAAAAGTGACAAAAAAATCCATGATGCACATATAATATACACACCTACAGTAGTTGGATAAGCCGCAGGTCATTAAAAACAAAATGCCCAACCTGTGCCTATTCTCTCTCTTTTTATGTCACCACAATACCCCTCGAATTAACATGGATAGAAGACAAAATGCTGACGATGGAGACAGCTACCTCAACCACAAACATGATACTTTTTCCATTGCCTCTAACAGCTTACATAAACTGCTATTGTGTCATCTGCCAAACACACCACAGGGCATTTGATAACACAGGCTATCTGTGTATACACCCAAGGACAGAAAAGGACTCATATTATATACATACATGACTACCCTTTGTCCAAAATGACGCTTGTCCATATGTATTATCATTAAGATTTCTGTAAACTTATTTTAAGAGTCCTTGGCATTGGTTTGTGAAAAGCAACTGCCCCTTTAAAACAGAACAGCACACAGTGACTTGCATTAAAAAATGACCCATTTTTTTTTCTGTGGGAGTCCAAACTGAAGACCAAGATCTAATCTTATTCCAGAGTTATCTTTACTCTATATTATCATACTGGTAGCCTACTTAAGAAGAGTCATCATAACCTGCTATAAACTTGACCATAAACCAATGATAACAAACGTGCTCCTAATCTTCTGCAATCGTGAATATATGCACATCGATGCAAAATATTTGATTTTTATTGCTTCTCATATTACAAGAAAGCATCTTTATTTCAAAGCAAAATGAAAACAAAATGTGTTAAATAGCCTGTGGATCTTCTTGATTCTGATCAAGGCAAGCCATACATTTTAACATACTATTAACAATACTACGGAAATATACCTAAGATTATGACCTCTATCCACGACAAAAAAATTTACTACCACAAATCAACAACAGACTTGTGAAAAATGTTGACAAGTAATAAGAATGATTAAAAGCTTGCAGTCACTTTAGCCAGTTTGTATAATTCATATAAGCTTTTTCCCAATACCAACTGTACATAATGGGGTTAAAATTTAACCAGGTAGTTAAATCCTAGTTAACTCTTTTCCAAGACATCCATCCAGGGCATTAGTCTAGTGGAAGTAGTCCATCTTAGGGTCACATTAGGCACTGTTTTGACTAAAATTGCTTGAAGACTCACTCCAGGAAGAAGACTGCACGGTTGAATCACAGGTCACTCAAGGGAGTAGACAGCATGTTTGCAATCACAGGTCACTCTAGGAAGTAGACAGCATGATTGCAATCAAAGACTGTTTTCGTTCTCTCTGCTAGTATCAAAACAGTGCTTGTCAACAAAATTTTAGATGCAATGTGAGTTTGCATTCACACGGTCACCATAGTACTATTCTCAGTACTCAATCACCCCTTTCCACCAAATAAAACCTTTTTGTTTGCCTGTTAATAACAATCACATTAGGACTGGTAACATTTTATTCATGGAAAGATAATATTCCAGTCCCAAAAACAGGATGATGAAGCCTGTCACTGCCAACATATGAAATCTCTAAATAGGTGGGCGTGGCTTCGCTCTTTCATTTTCATTTTGGTAATGAGATTAATTTTTTTTTAAAGATACTTTATACATAAAATAAAGATGCCTCCAAAAAACGATGAAGATACTTGAGATGGAATATGTGTATGAGCTTACGCATGCAATGGTTGTTTTCCCCCTAATTTCACAGCCACAGTTTCATGCAATAAACAATTACAAAAACAACGCTACTGTACCTGTACGCTGAATGTGGACAGAAATAAAGGAGAGCATGTGATATTCTCAGACCTGACAAAACTACAAAATTATCCCTATGCATACAAATCTAGCCTAATAATGTTTAGCTATGGCTCTAAGCATGCAACTTGTCTGACAAAAGACAAATACTTCACTCACAAACCAAATCCTCTCCTACCTCAAACCGCAATATTTAACATTTACTAGTATAATGCGGGAGTCGTTATTCTTAACATTATCCAGACTCAGTTACACTTGTCTAGGACAGCTCACACATTTCAAATGGAAACAAGGCTCCACTGATTGTAGACATAGGGACCATTCCCAGACCCTATTGTACTGTGGATCGATCTATCTCCGAGGGGATTCTCGCTCAGTTGCAATCAACTTAAGCAGCTTAAATGTCTGTCACACCTATGGAAACTGCTAGGGGGTAATTAATTATCGTTTAGCAGCTTCTGAAGGCTTGCCATACTGGCAGGTCCACAGCATTACTCCAAGCAATTTACTTTGACAAAACAGAAGCTACATCGACTAAAGGACTGACAACAATCTACCTCATCGTGGATTGCTTCAAATTTTTGTTCTGGATAAACGAGTGTGACTGTTCCTTTTAATCCTTTCAGGTAAAAATGCAATTGAGACTTAGGTATTCAAAAGGTATCTTCAGCGAGGCTAATCTGTTTGCAAACACAACTTCCAGACCTTCTCAGAGTCAAAGAACCCATTGTGCATATTGATTCAGCTTTGTGATTCTAATTGAAATGGAGTAATACCAACATAATGGAATCAATTTCATTCAGGCCTTTCACTATTCACCTTAGCTTTCTGAGAAATCAAAGCGGTGAAAATGTTTACTGACTCGCTCATGTTTAATAACTTACCAAACATGTGCTATATTGATGAAATTGTTTCAGTAATGGATAAATTTGATTACTAGAAAACTTGACTGAAGAAAAAGAAAAACTTTCAGGCTTTTGATCAATTTTACATAAATCTATTCTGCTAACAAAATTTAACTGGATGTAAGTTGAAACTATCCGTAATAGAAAATAAAATCAGACTTCCATAAACCGAGATAACACTTTGAAGAACAATTTGAAAAACGCTTTCCAGCCAAGTGTTTAGGTCACTGAGCAGGGTAAAATTCAAATATAAATGATAAATAAATTGTGTTTACAAAGGTCTTTCGGCAAACTTTCTGAACCGTAGACTTGCGACTTATGACATGTATTATGTGTCCAGCATACACACACCGCCCATTGCATAACACCCTGTACCCACAATAAAACTATTTCTGTCACGACTGACCAAGACCACAGTGCTGAATGAAGGAAGTGGACCATACAGTCATGAAGAAATTGAGTCTGCCCACTAAAACTCTCCAACACAACTTCAAATCAGTTTGTCTCCTTAATTCCAAACTTTTTGACAAAGAAAAAATATAAAATACTATGTGCACCCCTAAAACTTAAAACACTGTTTATCTTTATATTTTAATGCATTTTGATAAGATGTTCGTATTTAACTTTGTTAGTTAATAATTCACTTCATTTGTCAAATTAAAACTACATTATAATCTATGATGCCCAGATAGTTTATAACACCTGTAAGTTTTGTCTCATTTTGAGACCGATTTTTTTTGATAAAATACCTCAAAATAAAGCAGATCAACCGTTTTGACAGTATGAAAATATGTACATTAACATAATTTAATTGCTAAGTACTTCCTTTGATAGAACGCTTGCAATAACTGTCATTAATAAAACATTAAAAGTTGAAACTGTAATTTAAAAGTTAAATGCAGTGTTTTCAACCATTCAATAACCTATTCTGGAAATCACGACTGCAAAGCAACCAAGAAACTTCTAAATTATTTAAGTGATATCTAACTTAGAAATTGTAATATTTCTATCACTTTTGCAACAAACTTATTTGACTCCCACTTTTTCGATGCAAGCAGACACCTGTCGTCGAGTACGAGTACGTCGACTTCACAGAGAAAGTTTAGCTTCACAACTTGACAACATTTATTACCAACAACCGACTTCTCCGCAGTGAAAATCAGATTTACTAACAAGATGTAATACATTATAACTTCTCACAATTCTTTTGTCGAGTTTATTTTGTTTGAAATACTTACAAAAGCATATTTCCCTCTCGGCTTGCACTGCCTATCTCCTATTCTTGTGAGAACAATATGGCGATTAAGCTATACTCTCTAACACGCACGCACTGAAGCGTAAACAAGAAAGTCTTTTAGTAACAACAAGTGATAATATTATTCATGTTGCAAAGAAATCTAACTTTTTTCAAGAAA